CTGTTCTACCTGTTTTTGATTCTCCTCTACCATTGCAGTCAGCGCACCGCGTGTGGTGCTAATGAGCTTCTCCGCCATCGCGCGTTCATGAGACGCCTCGGACACCGCCGCGGACAAACGGGACTCCAGCTCCCTCACGCTCCTCCCTGCTGCATCGCTAGCTTCCACCATCTCGGCCTTCTTTGCAGCGAGCAGCGCAGCCAGGGCAGCGTTCTCCCCCTCCAACGCCTTCAGCTGGACGAGAGCGTCCGCCAGTTCGCGCTCCAGGATATCCACATCACCCGTAGCAGCAAGTTCCCTTCTCGCAGCAAGCTCCTCAAGTTCACGACAGCGGCTATACACACCCTCAATTGTCTTACTCGCGTCCGCCTCTGCACCCTCAATTACCGCCTCCCTCTGTGCAAGATCCTCTGCGAGCTTCTCGATGTCAGCCTCCCTCTGCGCAAGATCCTCTGCGAGCTTCTCATTGTCAGTCTCCCTCTGCGCAAGATCCTCTGCGAGCTTCTCATTGTCAGCCTCCCTCTGTGCGAGGTCCTCTGCGAGCTTCTCATTGTCAGCCTCCCTCTGCGCAATTTCCTCTGCGAGCTTCTCATTGTCAGTCTCCCTCTGCGCAAGTTCCTCTGCGAGCTTCTCATTGTCAGCCTCCCTCTGTGCAAGTTCCTCTGCGAGCTTCTCATTGTCAGCCTCCCTCTGCGCAAGTTCCTCTGCGAGCTTCTCATTGTCAGTCTCCCTCTGCGCAAGTTCATCTGTCAGCTTCTCGATGTCAGCCTCCCTCTGCGCAAGATCCTCTGCGAGCTTCTCATTGTCAGCCTCCCTCTGCGCAAGGGCGCGCGTCAACTTTTCGTTGAGTGTTGTTGTCTTGTTGAGCTCGTCGATGGTGACGCTGTAGAGAGGTTCGCTGCGCACTATTTCAGGGGCCACTGGCACGTCAGTATTTGGCGGTGGCATCTGCGGTGAAGCGCTATCGCAGAGTTCTGGATGTGATAGCCTCTCATTTATACGAGCGTTGCGCATCTCTCGGTGCGCAACAAGTTCAGCTTGCATTCTAGCACGGGCTTGATCGTGGTCCGCGCGAAGCTGTTCTACCTGTTTTTGATTCTCCTCCACCATTGCAGTCAGCGCACCGCGTGTGGTGCTAATGAGCTTCTCCGCCATCGCGCGTTCATGAGACGCCTCGGACACCGCCGCGGACAAACGGGACTCCAGCTCCCTCACGCTCTTCCCTGCTGCATCGCTAGCTTCCACCATCTCGGCCTTCTTTGCAGCGAGCAGCGCAGCCAGGGCAGCGTTCTCCCCCTCCAACGCCTTCAGCTGGACGAGAGCGTCCGCCAGTTCGCGCTCCAGGATATCCACATCACCCGTAGCAGCAAGTTCCCTTCTCGCAGCGAGTTCCTCAAGTTCACGACAGCGGCTATACACACCCTCAATTGTCTTACTCGCGTCCGCCTCTGCACCCTCAATTACCGCCTCCCTCTGTGCAAGTTCCTCTGCGAGCTTCTCATTGTCAGCCTCCCTCTGCGCAAGGTCCTCTGTCAGCTTCTCATTGTCAGCCTCCCTCTGCGCAAGATCCTCTGCGAGCTTCTCATTGTCAGCCTCCCTCTGCGCAAGTTCCTCTGTCAGCTTCTCATTGTCAGCCTCCCTCTGCGCAAGTTCCTCCGTCAGCTTCTCATTGTCAGCCTCCCTCTGCGCAAGATCCTCTGCGAGCTTCTCATTGTCAGCCTCCCTCTGTGCGAGGTCCTCTGCGAGCTTCTCATTGTCAGCCTCCCTCTGTGCGAGGTCCTCTGCGAGCTTCTCATTTTCAGCCTCCCTCTGTGCGAGGTTCTCTGCGAGCTTCTCATTGTCAGCCTCCCTCTGTGCGAGGTCCTCTGCGAGCTTCTCATTGTCAGCCTCCCTCTGTGCGAGGTTCTCTGCGAGCTTCTCATTGTCAGCCTCCCTCTGTGCGAGGTCCTCTGCGAGCTTCTCATTGTCAGCCTCCCTCTGCGCAAGATCCTCTGCGAGCTTCTCATTGTCAGCCTCCCTCTGCGCAAGATCCTCTGTCAGCTTCTCATTGTCAGCCTCCCTCTGCGCAAGTTCCTCTGCGAGCTTCTCATTGTCAGCCTCCCTCTGTGCGAGGTCCTCTGCGAGCTTCTCATTGTCAGCCTCCCTCTGCGCAAGTTCATCTGCGAGCTTCTCATTGTCAGCCTCCCTCTGCGCAAGTTCCTCTGCGAGCTTCTCATTGTCAGCCTCCCTCTGCGCAAGATCCTCTGCGAGCTTCTCATTGTCAGCCTCCCTCTGCGCAAGGTCCTCTGCGAGCTTCTCATTGTCAGCCTCCCTCTGCACAAGTTCCTCTGCGAGCTTCTCATTGTCAGCCTCCCTCTGCGCAAGGTCCTCTGCGAGCTTCTCATTGTCAGCCTCCCTCTGTGCAAGTTCCTCTGCGAGCTTCTCATTGTCAGGCTCCCTCTGTGCAAGTTCCTCTGCGAGCTTCTCATTGTCAGCCTCCCTCTGCACAAGTTCCTCTGCGAGCTTCTCATTGTCAGCCTCCCTCTGCGCAAGATCCTCTGCGAGCTTCTCATTGTCAGCCTCCCTCTGCGCAAGGTCCTCTGCGAGCTTCTCATTGTCAGCCTCCCTCTGTGCAAGTTCCTCTGCGAGCTTCTCATTGTCAGCCTCCCTCTGCACAAGTTCCTCCGTCAGCTTCTCATTGTCAGCCTCCCTCTGCGCAAGGTCCTCCGTCAGCTTCTCGATGTCAGTCTCTCTCTGTGTGAGAGTGGTCTCTAGTTTCACTTTTTTTGTGTCTTTCTGTGTTAGTATTTCTTCTAGTTCTCGTATTATTTCAGCTTTCTCTATCATTTCTTCTGCTAGTTTTACGTTTATGTTTCGTATCTCATTTAGTTCTTCCAAAGTTACGCTGAAAAGTGGCTCGTTGGCTAGTACATGGGGATGTACGGCTTCGGAAATTTGTTCTGAAGCCAATTTTGGAGAAGCATCGGTGGTGAGTAACCCGTCTTGTACCCTAACGGCTTGGGAGTCACGACGTTTCTGTCTGAAGACACGAAGTTCTAATTGGAGTTCATCTATTTCTTTCGTTTTTTCTTCCATGAGTGTTTTGAGTTGTTGGTTTTGTTCCTGAAGGGTGGAAAGCCTTTCTTGGTTTTTTCTTTCTTCTTCTTGTATTTCTTGCTGCAATCTCGCGACACGTCCTTGTTCTTTTATATACTCGTGCAATGTGATGCAGTAGATATCCTTGTCGTGGTATTCTTCCTTGTCTAGGTGACGCTGGGTGCGTACGTGTTGTATATGTGCCTTCTCTAATTTATATTGCTGGAGTTCTTCCTCTTGACTGTCTGCCAATTCGCGCAGTTTCGCCAAAACGTCGTTCAAACGTTTTATTTCCCGATAAAGTTCGGAGGTTCTCTTTTTTAACTCCTCGCGCTCGCGTTGCGTCTCAGCTGTCTGCTTCCTGATTTCGGCGTTGGACTTAGCAAGGGCATGGTGTAGCGAGCGATTCTCGCTGTGCAATTTATCCATCAGTATAAGCATATCTCCAACCTCACTCTCGTAGGCGTCCTTGTCAGTTGACATGTTGATTTCTTGTAGCTGTTCCACAAACTCGTCAAAGCGAAGACCATTGTATTTCCCTTCTTGGATGCCCAACACGCGGCACACCTCCTCAATCGCAAAGTCAAGCCCTTTTTTCGGTCCATCCGCGCCAAGGTGAAGATGCTGGAGATACGGAAATCCGTAGTCGCGAAGTAGCGCATCCACCCGACTGCCGGGTAAATTGACGGGATGATGAACGTCAAACTTGGCAGTCAGCCCCATCGGGGAGGCGTGAAACGCCACATTGCTCACACAGTGCGGTGGGGCGCCAAGACCCCTGGCAACCTCCATGCTAAATGTCGCCATTAGTTCTTCTGGTTTGTTCTCGACCAGAATGTCAGCTCCCGACCAGGGAAAATCAACGGTGTGCCTTGTCGTTACTGCTTTTCCCCGGCGCTGTGGTTCATTTTGTTGCCAGTCCCACTGCACCGTTTCCCCCACTTCATCCCGCAGCTGCTCGATATTTTCTAACGTGCTCGCAGACGGCATGCGTGGTGTTTCTTTTGAAGCGCCCAAATTTGCCATCTGAAGAAAGGCATCCTGACACAAAGTCGTCCGTGCCTCAAGCTCCTCGTTGTATGTCTGAAGGCAGTGTAGTTCCGTCATCAGGCTCTGCAGGTGATCGTTGGCGCGCCCAAGTTGCTGCTGCAGCTCTACACGGAGGGCACCCGCCTCCGTCTCAATGGACGCCGCTTCAGTCTCCGTAATAACACAATTAGGGTCATCCACGTCCACAGGCAAAACTCGGATGAGGGAGGAAGCAAGAATCGTCTCCTCCTCGCCTCGATGTCGCGTGAAACACATAACACTTGGGGCCACGGTGGGAGACTTCTTCAGACGGTTAAGCTCATCACTGAGACTTTTGGACCTGGCACGACAGTGATTCATCTCATGGATGCAGATCGCCATCTCCCCCGTGGGGCTGACACCACTTTGCACCCAGGCGTTGGAACGGATCTTGTCGTACTCGTTTATACTCGTGTTGCCTTCATTATTGGTGCTGGACTCGGGGCTCCGTTGGCTGATGATGCTCCGTTCCACATCAAAGAGACGGCGTTGCGAGTCCTTCAACCGGATATTCACACGATTTAGCTCATTCGTGAGAACGTTGATGACAGGTTGGCTGCTGCCGCTGGTGCTGCTACTTAAGACATCGTCCCCCCACGCCTCACGGTCCCAGCGGCGGACAACACAACTGTGATCGTCCATTCGCCTCTGAATTGTGCCAAGCGCCCAGCTCCACGTCGCGCCATTGTCGTGCTCAATTCGTTCGTAGGCGACGACAGCACCCACAGGAAGCGACCCGCGATCATCGTGGAGAAGTAACACCATTTTTTTTTTCTCTCTCTTCAACCCCCCGCACGTACCAAACAGAAGACGTGCTTACAGCCGCAGAGGTGACAGAATGTCGCGTGGATGATAATATGCGTTTTCCCCTTTCCCTTTTCTTCCCTTCCCCTCACGCGGTTAAATAAATTGTTGCACCGTCCGCGGTCAATGAAAATAACACGGGAGACGACGACCACCAAAAGAAAAAGACACACGCACACACACCACGACAGATGAAGTGTTTTTTTTTTTCCCCTTTACTTTTATTTTGCGCTCAGGAAAGATGCAAAAAACAATAAACCGGCCGGTATGCGCTAAGCAGAGCCAATCAATCAATCAATATGTATGTATGTATGTATGTACGATGTCTATTTATTGTGGCGGGATGGAAGGACGGTGCGACGACAATAAACACCTCCTCCCCCCTCCCTCCGTTCCCCCTTCTTCTCCTCCTTTTCCACCCCTAACTTCAACAGACACGGCAAGACACGCGATGCTTGTGCGAATGGACGGTGGAATATATATAAAACAAACAAACAAACAAACAACAACAACAAAAAACAAAACAAAACAAAATAAGAAAAAAAAAAAAGAAAAAGAAGAAAAGATGAATATATATATATATATATATATAACTCCCTGCTTAACTACCTATAAATAAATATAAATAAATATATAAATAAATATATTTTTATACTGTAAGTACTAGTTCGCACGCGTATATGAGATCACGATACGGAAATCAACTATAATGTTTCTAATGCAGGCCTCGTGTAATGTGCAGAGGGCCACAGTGAGAGTAACGTTTTAATAAAAACCTCCCGCAGCCCAACCGAAACACACAAAGGACGAAAAAAAAAAAAAAGAAAGAAAAGGAAAAGGAAAGAAAAAGACAACAGCAGACAGCCGTGTGTGTACATGCAGGTTGGAAAAAGAAGTAAAGGCACAGAAACATAGAGAGAAAGAGGATGAGGATACAGACATGCTCGTAGATTCACTTCTCACATCGTTGCATACATCTAAATAAACAGCACATCAACAAGAGGAAACAAAGAACAGCAAGAAAAAAAAAATTGAAAAAAAGAGAACTGGGACAGGACTGGTTGGCACACACAGAAGAAGGCGCAGGACACAAAAAAACCACACACGATACTCCCCGCCGCCTTCCCCTCATGGACACAGTCACCAAATCCTCCTTTTCTTCCTCCTTCTATTGCCGCCTTGTCACAAACCCCGGTCAAAATCTAGTGTACATCATGCATTGCCTGACTGCATTCTTTCCTTTTACTTTGAAAGGAGTAATATCTGCTCCTCCGCCCTCTTCCGCATGAATTCATTCTGGCTGTGCCTCACCACCTCTGCGTACATCTCCTTTGCCTCGTGCTGCTGGGTGCCCTCGATGGCGCTGGCCAAGTAATACATGGCGGTGCAGCTTGTCGCGGATGTTGCACGACCGGCATCTCTCTCCATGGCAATCACCTTCCGCAAACACCCTTCACCGAGCCTCAAGTACGACGCCCGAACAAGATCTCGACCAAGCTCTGTAAGCAGCGCAACATCCGAGAGCCCCTGAATAATCGCTTGTTGCATTACAATCTCCAGTTCCACGCGCCCTTTATGCAGACAGACCAATGCAAGATACGCCCACGTCCTTGGGTTGATGTTATTGAGCGCGTTGGACTCACTGAGACACTCCTCGGCAGCGTCTAGCTGTCGCATGCGGTAGTACGCAATACCAGCGCCAAGCCACATTAAGCTGCAAGGCCATGCCTGAATGCCAAGTGTAAACACTCCAAGTGCATCGCTGTATCGTCCGGCTGTAATGAGAAGATTGCCCAAGTGAATGTAACTGGGACCAAACCGTCGGTTTGGTTTCACATCTTCGTGGCACAGCACTTGTCTGTACTCACGCACTGCCTCTTCATTGTGGCCCAGCGACGCATGACATTCCCCACGAAGAATGCCCACTTCATCCGCACACAATTCCAAATCTTCTGCATTCTTCAATGACGTAAGAGCGTCCTCGTATTGCTCGCATAGCATGAACAGACGAGCGTACAGCACCTCTGTCTTGGGCCCAGAGCGACACCGAGAAAGACAGACGTTTGCCAAGTCCGGGTGATGTAACTGGAGAAGGTAGTCGGCGACCAAGAGACTTACTTCATTGTAGTCAACCTCTTCCGTGGCCCCCATGGCCTCCTTCATCGCCAACGCCCCCTCACGCTCCCAGTATGCTCGCTTTGTCTCATACTGAGGCCCTTGCTCTAGTGCCAACATATTCAAATCACATAGTAGTGAGAGATGGCCCCAGCAAAGTGCATTAGGCTTGGCATCCGCCGCGGCGTGCAAGTAGACGGCGGCCTCATCAAAGCGATTATGCGCAAGAAGCAGGTCCCCATAACCAAGGAGAGAGTCCACGTACATTGGGTCATGGGCAATCGCCTCGCGGTAGCATTGTTCTGCACGTGTGGCATCACTAACACGAACAAAAAAATTAGCCGCATCATTCCACACAGCGGGAAAGTTGGCTGAAGAACTACAACTGGCAATTCTGGCCTGATGACATTTTGCCGCTTGCTCATGTTCACGCAATGTCTCAGCCTCCTCCGCCCGTTCCAGCCAAATACGCCCCGTCACCCCAGAGGAATCTCCATCTTGGGAATACTGCAGTCCTACGGATGCTCTGTTGCCATCTTTTCTCATGCCTCTTCCTACATTCCCTGTCAAGTTTTGCAACGTGGTGTGCACGCAATCAAGAAGATACACGTATAATTCATTTATAAGTTCACTCATGGCTTCTTGCGATGCGTCTTGGCTGCGAAAAAACTTCTCTCGCACCACCTTGATTACCAATGGCATCAGTTGTTCCTTGTATGCTGCCAATTGTCCTGTTGTTTGAAAAGTCCAAAAAAGTCGCTCGTCAATTCTTTCACCTCCCTGCGCCTTCGCAGCCCTGTAATCTTGCATGATCTGTTTTGCAATTGCCTCCACCACGTCTGTAAACTGCCGCGTACCGTCTTGGTATTCCTTGCTTGGGGGAGCTCGTTGAGGGACAAGGTTGCCCGGCTTCAGAAGAGGTCGCACGCGATCACTCGCCAGTCGTGTGAGTGTCTTTTCAAGATGCAGCGAGACCACTGCCGAGGTGTTATGCGTCACGTACGGGTGCTGCGCCTCAAAGTCAATTTCCTCAAACAAAATTACAGGTACCCCTGACTTTGGTCGCCTCGAAGTTCTTTTCCGTCCCTTCTCTTCCACACGCGCAGAGGAATTTAAAGGCAGCAGCGGAATTTCTTCCGTTAGCTCCAGCGAGCCGGGCTCCGCAAAGGGTGCGAGATCCACAGGAATAGAGGCACGGAAGTACCACTGGTGTGTATCTTCCCAATCATTCGGCACCCCTCCCCTCAACACTCGCGTAAACTGCAACTCCAATGGCTTGCCTGCCACCACCATGGCATCTAACGCAGCGACGTCCCGCTCCGTAAGCGGTACACGAATGACACATGGCGGTGGGTCGTCGTCAGTGGGCACGGCAGGCGCTGGCGCATCTTCTACCATCGGTGATGTCCTCCGTCGCCGTTTTACTCCCTGTTCTTCAGAATTCGTGGACACCGTGTCGGCGGCAGGTGTTGTTATCCACAGAATCTTCGTGGCTAATGGAGTCCCATCGCCCTCAGCCTTTCTGAAGTTGGAGGCCGTCCTTTTATTTGCGGCGGCGCCGAGCAAATTCGAAGTATCGGGAAACTCACGAATGTGTCGCAGCATCTCATTTACTTCCGAGGGGAGTGGCGGGGGCGTGGCTCCCAAAATGTAAGACTCATACTGGCTCAACTCCTGCAGAAGACGGCCATGCTTAAAAGTGTACGTGTTCTCTCCGTCCATGCTAAAACTGACCTCGTACCTGAACGGATGCTCCACAAAGGCGGGTGGCTTCCCATCGGAAAACCATCCCGGGGGCAAGTTGTGTACACCGTGCAGCTTGACATCGATGTAATTTACGGGCTCTTTCTGAGGTTCACTCTCTTCCATTTTCCTCCACCTCTTCTTCTCTTCCTCTTTATTTTGCCTCTCTCTCTCTCTGTGTGTGTGTGTGTGAGTGTGTTCCACGCCCAGTTACAGACTCTTTTGAGTTAATTTCTTGCGTTAAAAAGAGAAAAAGAAGAAGATGGATAGCGAGAGAGAGAGAGAGAGAGAAAGAGAGAAGGAGAGAAAGGCAGCAAATTGAGATGTATACATCCCTTGTTTTGTACATGTATGGAACAAATGTGACACAACTTGTGTTCGGTCAGGCAATTCTTCCCTTCTCATTGTTATTCTCTGCAGACGCCACGGAATGGGGTGGTGTACCGCCGCACAGTTTTTGGGTGTATTTGTGTGTGGCGGCACGACGATACGCCAATTTCTATCACGGGCGCCATACCGACTTCCAAATCCCTCTTCCTATAAATGCCTGTAAACAACAGCCCCACAATACTCACCCACTGGACCAACCAAAGAGGCAAATAATAATAATAATAAAACTCGGTTCGCCAATTGCGTCCATTCTCGTGACACAATTCAGACGGAAAGAAAGAGCGAAAGAGCCAGCGAGAGAGAGGGAGATGCATATAAATCAGGCGGCTGTATGTACACATGTATTTGTACAATTCCTCTCAATATTCAATTGATTTATCCTGTCTTATACCTTTCATGTATGCTAATTGCATCTCTTTCACTCTCTCTTGCCTTTTCTTCCCCTTCTCCTTTTGTTTTTTTCCCTTTTTTTTTTTTTTTTTTTTCTCTTCATTGTTGTTCCATGGCTGCCATCATAATGGATGAATAAACCGTTACTTTATTTTATTTTATTTTATTCTTAAAAACAAACAAATATGGGGCTCACCTCAGTTTTTGCTTCGTCATCGCCGCCGCTCATTTCCGTTCTCCCTCCCCCGTCGTTTCTTACTGCAATTATATATATATGTATATATATAAAGCATCTTTTATTTCCTCACAGTACATCATGGCCCCATCCCCCCTTTACCTCACTTGTACCCTCCCCAATGGAGGAAATGAGGAAAGAGGATGAACCATGCGTGTGTGTTGTGTTTATTTTTATTTTTACTCGCGAGGGCGTTTATGCCCCTGGCGGCCGCCAGTTCGTCCTTTCTGGTGTTTTTTTGCTCGATCGGCAATTTCCTTTTCAACGTTCAGCAAAAGCTTCTTTTCGTCCGCGTCCTCCAGTTTCTGCACCTCCGGCTGCTTGCCGTTGAGGGTTGTCCCACGCTGCTTGAGGTCCGCCACCATCTTCTCCCCCGTTGCGGGGTCCTGGAAGATGAGGAGGGCCGTTTCCTCGTCCGGCATGAACACGTAGCGGATTCCAGCCCGCTCCTCCGCAGGCCAGAGCTCCTTGACGCCGGAATAGCCCTCCATTACACCACACCCCGTGACACGGTAACTACTCTTCAACGGCATGGAAGGCGTTTTCCGGGCCTCTTTTGCGACCGGCTGGTCTTGCGGGGTCTGAGGCTGACGATTGCGGCCCTTGTTTTTGGCGGCTATTTCCTCTGCCTTCTTCTCAAGGTACTCCTTCTTCATCTCCACCGTGAGCTGCACTCCATTATGCATGGGTGGGGACGCCTTCAATGCCTCTGCCTCTTCTTTTGTGCCAAAGACCACAAAAACAGACGGCTTCGTGCGAGCCTCAGGCTCTGCATCCTTCTTGCCCGGGAAGTAGCGGCGCCAAACGGCCTGAACGGTGCCATATTGACTGAAGAACTCTGTGAGCTCTTCCAGAGTCGCGCCTGGGGGCAGCGGCTTTACATACACGGTTTGCTCGTCGGTCTGGATGGACTCCGGCAAGGGATCTCTGCGACGCACCATAAGGCCATCTTCGCTCAGCACCAGCTTCTCGCTTGGCCGAATTGCCGCCGCAAGCTCAGCAACTTCCTTCGTGGCGGAATTCACACGGTTAAATGTCAAGAGCGTTCCCAAAGGAACAAAACCTTCCGCGTTTTCAGCCATTTTGGCTTTTAAAAACACATCCTTCTGCACGTTGACGTCGCTAAAGTAAAACTCCACCTGCCGCTGCAGCTTCAATCGCACATCTGAAGAAATTGTCATCCTTCAAGACCTTCCCGTTTCTCTCCGTTCTTTTTTTTTTTTGTTGTTGTTGCTGTTGGGCTTCACAGAGCGTATGCCTCTACCCCAACACATGCATGCATGCATGTATGTGTGTGTGTGTGTATGGCGGAGGGAAGTCAAGGGAAAAGGGGGAGATGCAAGAAGACACACACAGACAGACACGGAGAGGCAAATGACTACCACCAAAACAAAACACAGACAAAAATAATATTCACGCCTGTCACACCCCAAAGACCCTTAACTACCCATTGGGCTCCATGTGGTTACATGGACAAAAAGGAGGAAGAAGCAGAAAACGGCGGGTGCACATAATCCCCATCAAATTCCCACACGACCTTCCCCTGTCAAGCCCCTCCTATTCTCTTTTCCCCCTTTTTTTTTTGTAAACAGAAAAAACAGCAGGGAAGACAAAAAAAAAAAAAATAAAACAAAAAGGAACTGTCCGTTTCTTCTTCTTTTTTTGTTTCACGTTTTTCTTTTGTTGGCCACCTTCTCTCATGCGTGCGCCACCCATTGATCCTTTTATTTCTTCACTGGAATACTCTCCCCCTCTTCTTTCCCCCCTACCCTGCTGTTATTGATTATTATTATTATTGTTTGTTATTTGCCGCGCTGGCAGTTTTCTTTGGCAGCGGCATCGTACGAATGAGCTGCTGCAGGAGTGTCGTGTCACTGACCTTCAGGTTGCACACAGGGAACGCCTTCCCCACGACGCTGCCGCCGGGCGCCGCTCCTGCTGTGGCCTTATTCACTCGAGTGGCGCCGCTATTCTTCGCGGAGACGGCAGCAGAAGCGGCAGACGGCGGTGGTGAAGGTGCTGGGGGCGGTGGCACATCGTCGTCGTTGAACCCCGGTTGCCCCACGAAGTCGCACTTTGCAAATCGCCCGCCTTTGCCGGTGAATGGGAGCGACTCCAGCGTCTTGCGGTCCAGCCGCGCGGCGATACGTAAGACGGCAGGCCCACTCGCTGCAATTGTGTCCTCCAGCGACTCCCCGTATCGTTTGCCCCCCGAAGGCGGCGCGGTGGGTGCGGGGGCGGCAGGAGATGGCACGGCGGGTGCGTCGGACTTGACCTCCTCGCCCGGTGCTTCGCCCTCGGGGCGATAGTCTGCTATTTTTGGGATGTCTGCTTCGTCCTCAACCATGACGGCGATGGTCTTTGCAACAGGCACCGTCTCCCCGCTGTGACAAAGGATCTTTGCGAGGTACCCGGCATCAAACGTGTTCGTGTAGTCCACGACCGCCTTGTCGGTCTGCACGGTGCAGAACACCTCGTTCTCATTGACGAGGTCGCCGACTTTCTTCTTCCACTCCACAATGGTGCCCGTCTCCATCGAGGGCGACAGTGCCGGCATGAAGAGCGGCGAGAAATTCACCAGAAATAAAAATGATCGACGCATTTCCTCCCCACACTTCTCTCTCTCTCTCTCTCTCTCTCGCTACTAAACAAATCCACCTAATTCCTGCCTGGTCAAACAAATCACCCAAGTCGAAGGAAAAACGTGGCGCCTTCTTCTGCAAAGGGAGGGAGGGGAGGCGGCATTCGACACCCCAAACATTATAGCAAAAAGGAGAAAGTAATAGACTGACCGCATGCGTGCTACATCACACATATCCAATGATAACAATTACACACACACACACAGGCACACGCACACGAACACAAAAACAGCAATGGGGTTGCCCGTTCACACGACGGCAGCGAAAATACAAATGTAAAAGTACGTATGGGGAAAAAAAAACATCAACAAAGTCCAAATGGCACCCCCGCCATTTCTTTTATTTTCCCTAAATGACTAAAAGCAGGAACATGATCAACACCAGCACAATGACAGCTACACAGAAGCCCTTCTCTTCGCTTTCCTTCAGCAGCCGCATGACATTGCTGTTTTGGCGGCGGCTCTCATCCGCTGCGAGTGTCACTCCAGAGTGAAGGCCATCCAACATGCCATCCTGCTCGCGAAGGTCGTCACCGATGGACACGGCATAGTGGCGTGTATTCATAACTGAGGAATGAAGCTGATCAAGCAGTTTATTCTGTTCTGTGATGTGATCATCGTGCTGGATTTGCCTGTTCATGGCCGCCAATTTGTGTACTTCCCTTTTTTTTTTTTTTTTTCTTAATCCCTTTTCTTTTTTATTTTTCCTCTTCCGCCTACCACAGAACCCCACCAACCCACCCACACACACACACACATGAGGTGAGAAATAGAAATAGAGAGAGAAAGCGATGGGAAAAGGTCATGATGGAGGCAGCAGGAGACGTCAAACTATATGGGTCCAACAATACAATGTGAAAATCCCATATCAAACATTACCGAATAGAGAACAAATACGAAACAACAACAACAACGTTTCAAATAGGAGTTTAATATTACGTAATGCACAATTCCACCTGCAGAAATAATAAATCAAACAAACAAACTCCCACATTTACTTAAAAGCAATCACGACGTATGACGATGAAGGTTGCAACCAGAGAAAGAGAAAAAGCAACGACAACAACAAAGGGTTCATTGACAATTGTTGGTGGGTCCAACAGACCGCTCGCGGGTTAGAACAGGCGCATCAACCGCGACGCTTTCCTCTTCTCGGGGCCTCTTTCGTACCGGAAAACGATATATTTGTTGTGACTTCATAGCCGGTGTCGTCATGTCGTGTGCGGCAAGTGAGTCCTCCTTTTCGACGCGCCATCGCTTGTGTGCTGCACAAATGGGCCCCGTGCGAGCCCCGCCACAAACACCGGTGGCCTGCGTTTCCATCTCATCTTCTGTCCGCAGCCACATAAATTCCGCCGTTTCACGCGCCCGCTTCGTGTGTGGCAGCGGCTTAAATGACGGCAGCGACAGGGATGATGACAGCGACGGTGTGTTGTCTGTGTGCCACGTGATGGTGAGTGGGGCACTTTGCTGCGGCAGAGTAAACGGAGCCTGCGCTGCATTGGACTTCCGCAGTAATGAATGAACAAACTCCCGCGACGACTTACGTGCCGCTTCCGCCACAGCTGGGCAAACGTACAATACCGGGTGCGAGTTTGTTTCCTCTTCTTTTTCTTCTTCTTGTTGTTTTTGTTCCTCATCCTCTGTTATTACGTCTGTCGCCGATGGAAACATGTTCGCCATGTTGGCATCCATCAACACCTCTTCACATGAAGCGGCACTATTTGCGGCCAAAAAACATGACGGCTGCATCATCCCCGCCTCGCACACCGGCAGTGGTGTGGGTGCCAGCCCATTTTGCCACATTTCTTCTATTACTGGCGTGCGCTTCGGTTAAACTCTACAAAATATCAGTCCTCCCTACAAATAAGCCACCAGGGACCGCGACGTAAATCCACATGCTGGCCGGCAGAGAGAGAGAGAGAGAAAAAAAAAAATTGGCTGCACCGAAACCATGCAGAGCGTGTTGTCGCTGCAGTGACAATGCAAACAACAAAAAACAACACTCCGGCTGTATTCCGCCCGGCCATCGAGGCCGCACTCACCCCGTCCAGCGTCACCGACAAAAAACAACAACAAACAAATAAGCACAGTTGGGGTGGTGCGTGGGGGCGACAGAAATAAAAAACTAAGAAAAAAGTAAAAAAAAAAAAAAGAACGGAGGAGGAAAACACAAAACAGGCAGAATGTAAAATGCACGTTACAATGGCTCTACCGCACCTGCCAAAATAAATCATCGTCATCATCTGGGCGGCGCCGTGGGCGGTGGCGAGAAAACTTCTTCGTACATCCCCCCACGGGCATAACTCCACTCCGTTTCATTATTCGTATCCCTCCTGCTAACATCAACGGAAGGCTCATCTGCCGTCTGCCGCGCGTTGTGCGATATGTCCCGCGATCTAAAGGCAATAGGGCTCCTCACGTGATCAACCACGTCCGTATTAAAGTGTACTCGCCGCTGCGTGGAAAAGTATGGCGAACAGGCCGTGCCGTCGCCAACAGAACCCGGCAGACTCTGGCGCGACACGGAGGGGTGCCTTGCGGGTTGCGTTTGTGTCATCTGCCTCATTTGTCCAGAGGCGGAGGGATCTTCTTCACACGCGACACGGCGACAGTTTTGTTGGAGATAGCAGATATCTATAAGCTTCAGTGTAAGCACATATGCAGCCACTAGAAAAAGGCCTCCTAAAAGGCCGCCCAGAATAGCATAATCTTCGTTATTCACCGCCAGGAGACCGTTGCACTGAGCATGCACGGGAAAAACAAAGAAGATGCCGCCTATCATTATTGCGTCTTTTTCCCTTTGGATTTGGGCAGCGGTGGTGGCGGTGTGTGTCTCGTCTAATCTCCACTGCAGCACACACGCACCGGCAGAGGAAAATCCCCCAAGGAAAAACAAAGTTTACACGCTTGTATGCAAAGAGAAGTACAGGGAGGGGGGGGGGAAACAAATGAAAAAAAAAAGAGTCATGACATGTCATTTGTATTTTGTTGATTTCATGCCCAACGGCTGTGACCGGACAGCTGAACTTCACCCCACACATTGGTAAAAAGCCACAATGGTCCCATTTCTATATTTTTGTTAGCGGCCCCTTTTGGCGTTTCTTTTCGTTTCTACTGTTCTTTTTTCCTTTTTTTTTTCTTTTTTCTTCCTTTCTTAGTCTTCCCCTCCTTGCGGTCGCTCCCACTACGACACGTAGAACACGCTGAGGGTTCCGGAGTCATCTGCCACCACCGCAAGGTGCTCTTCGGCGGCGAGCGTCACGCAGCCGGGGGTCCCAAGAAAAACAGGCGGCAGCGCGTCCGTGGGCCTTGGGGCGAAGCGGAAAACGCCGTCGGTTGTGCTGCGCTTGTCCCACGTGAGAACGGAGCCATCGGCATGGCAGGATAAAATGCCCATACTGTGCGGCATGTGGAGCCCCGTCACCGGTGCGCCGCACGGGGGGCTGTGGTCCACCGCACCGCTGCTCTTCTCTCGCACCGCCAAAAGACGAAGATCCCACACAACAAGAACTCCTTCCTCTGTCCCGGCCACAACAGCGTTGTCCCTCACCGCAAAGGTGATGAGAGGATCGTGTGGTGTCCACTTCCAGGCACGCACAATGCTGTCGCTTTGCTTCATGCGGGTGTCAACTTCCAGGATTGCATGGTGGCACAAGGCCAGCACAGAGGAGGCATCCCCGTCTATCTCACGCAGCTGCAACACCGGGAAGGTGGACAGCATCGGAAGCTCAACCGTCTGCTGAACGGACATGCGCGTGCCGCTCATAGAAAGCAACTTCAAGGCGTTAGACTCGCCCCGTTGACCTCCACATGCTACCACAACCCGACCCTCACCGCCCCCACCGCTGACAAACCTGTTGCTGCCGCTATAGAGACGCAAAGCCGTGGTCCAGCCTCTACCATCATCCTCAATGGCTTTTGGGAGTTTTCTGTACGTTACTGGCGTCCTATCTTCTTCGCAATCATCATCTTCCTCATTATTTTCTGTCCGACGGAACACATATGAAGTGACAGCACTGCCGTCACCCGCCTTTCCCGGGCCATTTCCAGCTCGGCTTTGCACAACACAGTGTACCACGCCTTCTGAAGACAACATGAGGGCAATGGCAGTAACACTACTACCAGGCACTGAGACGTGAGTGAGGCGAAAGCTTGCCGCATACATTGGATCGTCCCACTCGAGAAAGAACAAACGATTGGTCGGATCAAAAGCAGGCGAAACGGCAACCACGGCAGCCGGATTTCCCCCGCTACCATCCGTCGTCAGGAGACTCACATGTCGTGGGGATATGGGAAGGTACTGCTGTGCCAGGAGCTCAAGATTCATCTCTTCCTCAAACACACAACGGGTGCTCCTACGCAGCCAAGACTATTCCCGCGTGGGCTCACACAACCCCCCAAAACAAACAAAAACAAAACAAACAAAAAGAAGAAAGAGAAAAAAGCAAAAAACAACAACAACAGCAACAACAACAAACGCGTTACACACAATTTCTTTTATGCCCCGGTATTTTATTTTATTTTCTCTTGTTTATCACCATATCTACTTGGGATTGGGTCACAGTTACCAACCAGCACCGAGTTGTGGTGCCGAGCCTATCACAGACGGCTCTACACTCACCATTAATTGCGTAGGCATAACTCGGAGAAATTACTCGTCTGACTACGGGTAGAATTGTAAATTCCCTGACCGCGCAGTCTCCCGTCGCCTTTTTTTTCTTCCTCTTGTTCTTTTTCTTTCCCCAGCGTCAAAATACCCCCGCCCTGTCAGTCTTCCATGTCAATCTCGGGCATTTCATCCTCCTCGTCGCTCTCTTCGGCAGTAGGTCCCACAGGAGGGGACGGCTTCACCGGCGTGTTCCGCTGTTGTTTTTGCTGCTGTTGTGGTACCGCGGCGGCGGGAAGCACGTCCCGCCCTCTGTTTTCCCTACGGCCCAAAAAAGACTGCTGCTGCCGGGCCGCACTTATCGTTTGGTGCGGCGGGGAGGAGCTAACAGGGCGGGCGCAGTCTGTTGCCGCAACCTGCTGCTGCTGCTGCTGCTGCTGCTGCGTTTCACCGGGCTGTGGCGCCACACCAACGGAGGGTGTGGGCGGAGGAGAAGGACGAGAAGGGAGAAGAGAAGCAGGAACATCCGTCGTTCTGTCGCCGCCGGCTGAAGAAATGTCCCCGGCGACCCGCCGTGTGGGTTTCTCCACAATGTCGATAGGCGGCAAATAAAAGGGAAGCGCGTGCGGATGCCGCAGCGCCGTAAACGTCGCGGAAAGCCGGGAGATGGAACGAAGAAGATTTTGATTTTCACGGCAATTTCGCATCGTGATTGGCCGTGCGGGAAGTTCTTTCAGCACTCGCACCACACACGCCGAGACCACACCGGGCAGCGGGCGGCACAGCAGCAGAAATGACGTGAGCAGATCCACAAAAAGGGGCTGTAACGCCTCCTCAACAAGAAACACAGTGGACGAGGCTACAGTCCGCTGCTGCTGCTGTAAGCCGCTGTCGTTGCTGTTATTATTGTTTGAATTGCCCTTTTTTCCGCCAAGGTGTTTTCTGTTGTCTGCTGGGAGGCTCGAGGGTGGGGCGTCAAGAATGCCCTCCATCACCACCTCCTGCGCAAAGCGTAGCGTTGCCCGCTGCATCATTGATGCGTTCATGTACGGACCCACTGCGAAAAGCAACTCCTCAAGGGCGCGTAGGCTCCGCAAAACTTTGGATGTGTTCTCTTCCTCCTTCTCGTCCTCTGCGACGGGAGTCGACACGTCCCCATCGCCTTCACCAACCGACGGTGCTTCTGTTGCCGCGCCAGTCCACCCAACGACGCACGGCGCCGCGAGTAGGAACGGAGGCCTCTCGTTCAGCAGCAGCTCCATCAGCTCCTCCAGCACACGCACGGCACCTGCCCTAAAATATGTGCCGAGCAGCGCCGCAAGTTCCCAGGAGGCAGCGCTCGCAATGCCGGGAGACGCCACGGCCAGCAGCACCCGCCGTGCAATCGCGTCGAGCGAAGGCGCTAACTGCACCCCATAAGTCACGACAAGAGACCGGAGTGTGTAGAGGTGCGGCTCCGCCATGGCGGCAAAAAAGTCGCCACCGCGCTGTCTTTTTCTCCCGGCCTGAAGGGAGTTTCCCGCGTCCGGCTGCTGCGCGTCTTGGATGACGGTGTCCAGTGCGGCCAGTGTTTTCCCCAGCAGTTCATTCGCCGACTCGCTGGTCGTGAGTGGCCGCCTCGACTTGTGGTTCATTGCGCGGTGCCTTCTTCCGCCCTCCTCCCCCGCCCCTTCTCTCTCTCACACAATATCCCTCTCTCTCCTCTTCCATTGCCGCATTAGAAAAAAACAAAAAAAAGGGTTTTGTGAGAATGTGGCAAAAATAGCAGCAACGACTATAACAACAAGAACAACACCAATGACAGCAGAAATGCTATCAGGGAATAAAAATAAATAAATAATTAAATGCACACTGAGAAAAAAGAAAATGTTCAGCAAAGCCCTAAAAGGTAGAGGGTACAAAAGATGGTCAGCAATAAATGACCGCCTCTTTCTCTTCTTTTTTTTTTTTTTCTCTATCTCACTCTCCTTCCCTCTCCACATCTCCTTTTGTTTGTCTATATGTATGCATGCGTTCCCCATCTCATGGGGACTACATTTCATTTACATTTCTTCCCCAGTGACAAAAACAGACACCTACTCGCATTCCTTCCTTCAATCATCCCCATTTGTGTCTCCCCACCGCCACGCCCCCTTGGCCAATGCACTCGGCATGCACAGAGCTCCCTTATGTGGGTGTTTCGATAATTGGCGTCAACACTGCCTTGACATGCTTTACATTGCTACAGAGGGAGTGGCATCGGATCGCCGCATCTATTCCTTTCTCAGCAAAGTCTAACATAGCCACGGCCGGTGACATGGAACGGAGAAACTCCGCGGTAGTGAAAATCAAACGGTTGCCGATCTTATCAATGCGTGTTACAACGATGATGGCATCCTTCTCCCGAATTGTCTGCATTCTATTGCACTGCATGGACACTGAGACGTGCCCGGGGTGTGATGGCAGGAGAGCCAGCATCGCGTGGAATGATGTAAACATGTCGGTGATTGCGAGCACGGCCCCCTGCGAGAGTGTGCCGTCACCCTCCGTCACCGCAGGGGTAATTCTGATGGGCCACGCCATGGCGTACGGAAATTTCGGTTTCTGCCCCTGTGCTGGATTTGTAGGGGACCTCTCCACAGCAACAAACACGTCCTGCAGCACCATCTGCAGCTGCTCCTCCAGCAGTCGGAAACCAAAGTTGTCAAGGCCCCGGAGTTGGGCGTGTATGTCCAAGTAGTTGGGGAACACCTGCATCACGGGCGCCCACACCACATTCTCTAACGATGTCGCCATGCCCTCTTCAACCCCTCTTCTTTTTTTTTCTTTGCTCCCCCTTTTCTCTCGTCTCTGCCCCTTCCTTCCCTGCGTGAAGGCAATTCCTGAGAACACCCAACAACTCCCTTCAAGAAAATACATGTATGCAGACAGAACCACTGCAAGCATCAACAGACGCACACAAACACACAAAGAGGTGGACGATCAAACAACGAGGCAACGGCGGCATCACATCCCGATGAGGAAAAACTCCGCAACCGCACAACACTAACCCCCCTCCTCCTCCTCTCTCTCTCTCTCTCTCTCTCTCTCTGCTTGGCGGCTCGCAGAAGAAGAGATTTCTCGCTCACAAATAAACTGGAACAAACTCAACCCACCGCCGAATTCGCAGCAAAAAAAAAAAAAAGAAGACTTCAAAGCCCGCAGTTCTCATTATTTTTCAGTTAACAATCGGAAAAACAACAACAAAAAAACAAAAACAAAAAACAAAAAAAACAAACGCAGCAGCCAAAAAACTAAGAGGAAAAGGGAAAAAATTGAGGAACAACATACGGACGTCTCTTCTTACATGCGTGTGCAATATATATATATATATATATATCCCCCTTTATTAGCGCACTAGGGACCTGCATAATGGGGCCGCCCGCAATGTGGCCCCCCCCCTCCCTCCCCCCTCCTATTTGTAAATATAAATTATTTTTCCGTGGAGTGGCGGGAATAACACCCATAAGATGCATGCATGAGGTAAACGAAAGAAAGAGAGAGAGAGAGAGAGAGGGAGAGAGAGAGTAAGAGGAGGAAAAAAAAAAAAAAATGATCGGCCTTCATACAAAAACACACACACATACATACATACACATACATATATATCCAAAAAAAAAAAAAAAAAAAGAAAAAAAAAAAAGGCAGAAAGAAGAATGGCCGGCACGTACGCATCAAGGAAAAGTAAAAAAAAGAAAAAAAAAGGGGAGACATGAGCACCATTGTTATTATTATAAGAAATACAAAAAGACATGTTTCTTTTCGATTTTTTTTTTTTCCCAGCCCCAATGCCTCCCCCTCTTCTTTTTTCTTCCTTTGGATCTGCCCCGCGAAGCCCTCCTCACTCCGCCCCCGGGCCGCGGCTCGCTGCGCTGCGCCGCCCGGCTTACGCGCTTAGCGTCAACCTCTCCCAGACCCGCAGGAACACTCCGTCACGCCCAACGCTTTGGTGCTCTTGTGCTGTGCGCTCAGCTGCGTCGGGTATTCCACTCAAGTGAGACGAGGTTGCCGCGGTCCAGTCCGCCCGTGTTTGAAGCGGCATCCCCTCGCCCCGTACCACCCACGCCGCCCCGGGGTCTATCACCTGCCCGCACGAATCTTTATCACGCAGACGCCTGTCGAGGTGCTGCACGGGAAGCTCAAACCCACAGAGCGCCTCCTGCAGTTGATAGTGTAATTCATGATGAGGTCCAACAGTCATGCGGTTTTTCATCCCGCAGCAACCAAAAAACTAAGAGGAAAGGAGGAAAAATTGCCAGAAACGGCATACGGACGTCTCTTCTATACATGCGGGGTGCAATACTTATATATATATAATGGCCCCCTTTACCCTGTATTATTATTATTATTATTTGGGGCGAATGAAGCACTTCACATGTTTTCCGTTGGCGAGGATCTCAAAGCGTCTAAGAAGCCTCTCCATTTCTTCCACTGTAGCCGCCGGCGGCTCTCCGTCCAACGCCGTATTCCCACCACAGTTGTCGCGCAGTAACTCCGCTGACATGAATGCGAGTCGAGATCCCATCTTGTCTGCACGACTGATCAGCAGCACCTTTTCGCCAAGTTGGATGGGGTGCAGGCAATTTGTCTGCATGCTCACCGAGACGTGGGCGTCTCTGGAAGGCATGATACGTTCCATGACGTGTATTGTTGTGGTCACATCCAAGAGGGACGTGAACGCCCCGCTGCTCATTACACCACCATCCGCGCCACCGGGAATCCCTGCGTCGCACACGGCAGCGGTGACTGTAAAGGGAAACGCCATCGCATATGTCACATGACGCCCTTTCGCCCTTGCGTCCGGCACGAGTAGCACCCGCGTGTCCTCCGGCGAGTAGTTGATAGAATCCAGCAGCAGCTTCGTGTGGGGAGAGGCCTGCGTTAGGGAGAGATATCGTTCCAAAAACACCGGTGCGTGTGTCAACAGCGGCACCCACAGCGGCTGCCTTGCAAACATCATGTTTTTTATTACCCACCCCCTTTTTCCAGTGAGGGCGGTCAAACAGAAAAATGCCTTACTTATTGTGATTATATCTGCGTCTCCCCCCCTCCTATTTGTAAATATAAATTATTTGTTCCGTGGAGTGGCGGGAATAACACCCATAAGATGCATACATGAGGTAAACGAAAGGGAGAGAGAGAGGGAGGAGGGGGGGAGAGAGTGAGAGGAGGAAAAAAAAAAAAAAAACAAAACAGGGATCGGCACATTCTTCATATAAAAACACACATGCATACATACATAACATATAATATCATATAAACACATTTTTTCCTTGATTTATGCATTGCAGCTTTCCCGCCTCCACAACTTTTTAAAGAAAATTAGAGAAAACCGTCAATAGATATATAAATGCATATATATATATAAATATAAATATATATATTTTTATTGATGTATGTGGTCAGGTAGGCGGATAACACACATACAAATATAAATAAATTTAGCCGCTTGTGGGCATTACTACCCAATAAGAGGGAAAACAAAAAGAAAGAAAGAAAGAAAGAAAGAAAGAGAGAGATAGGGGGATGAATGCACACACAAAAACAAACAAACAAAAGAAGAAGGAGAATGACCGGCACAGTACGCATCAAGGAAAAGTAAAAAAAAAAAAAAAAAAAAAAAAAAAGGGGAAACATGAGCACCATTGTTATTATTATAAGAAATACAGCTGAAGAATGTGTAAACAATAAAGACAAGGGGCATGCAAATACGCATGTATATATATATGTATATATACAAACAATACACATGTCTATATGAATTCAAGCAACGTCCATGTGAATTCTTTGCATCCCTCGTCTCTTTTGCAGGTGTCCCGGCCGGAAGGAACTCTCACACACACACACACACACACACACACACACACACGCATCCCAATTCTGTCCATTTCTTTATTCTCACCTTTTTTTTTTTTTTTCAAATTTCTTTCACTCTTCTGCCCCAATGCCATGCAGATATCCCCCTCTTCTTCTTTTTTTTTTTTTGTATTTTCATTCCCCACTTAAATTCCTTCCCTCTTTTTTTTTTTTCTTGTATTTTTGTTCTCGTCACGTTCCTTTCTTTCAAATCTCCCTCTTTTCTTTTTTTTCTTTCTTATTATTTTTGTCCCCCTTTCTACGGAATTGTGGTGGGGCTGCCTGCATGCTTACTGATGGGCACACTGCACCGTCTGCGCCCCCGAATGGCCGCCATGAAATGCTGTGAAGCCCTCCTCATCCATGCCGCCTGCCATCTGCATTTGTCTCCGCCGGGCCGCGGCGTTGGCTCGCTGCGACCCGCTGCGCCGCCTCGACTGCCGCTGGCTTACGTCGCTGAGCGTCAACTTCTGCCCAGTGACCCGCGGGAACGACTCCGTCACGCCCAACGCCTTGGCGATGCTCTTCAGCTGCTGTGCGCTCAGCCGCGTCGGGTATTCCACCTCGAAGTGGATGACGAGGTTGCCGCGGTCCAGTCCGCCCGTGTTTGGAAGCGGCATCCCCTCTCCCCGTACCACCCACGCCGCCCCGGGGTCTATCACCTGCCCGCACGGAATCGTTATCAGCCGCAGACGCTTGTCGAGGTGCTGCACGGGGAGCTCAAACCCACAGAGCGCCTCCTGCAGGTTGATGGTGTAATTCATGATGAGGTGATTACCAACACGGCGGAAGACGTCATGCGGTTTTTGCGCCAATATGATGAGCACGTCGCCCTTAAGACGCACACCGACTACTTCATTCCCTTCACCATCAAACCGTACAACGTCCTGGTGTTTCATGCCCTTCTCAATGTGGACTTCGAGTATCTTCTGATCCTTCACGATGCCAGATCCGCGACACCGGCCACAAATGTCCACTTCCCGCACTGTAGTACCTTCCCCACCGCAGCTTTGACACGTCTGCTGCATGCGTTGATGCATGCCAATAAACAATTCCTGCACAAACGTCTGCACGCCCTGACCGCGGCAGGCAACACACGTGCGGCGCTCCGCCCCGGGCTTGATGCCGCCACCCTCACACGCACCACAGATTCGATCACGTGTGACGGAGATTTTCTTTGTTTTCCCGTTATACATGTCTTCAAGCGAAACCCGCATTTCATGCACAAGATCCCTCGGCTTCCGCTCCCCACGTGGCCGCCGTCCACCGCCAAAAAACATGGAGAATATGTCAGCTGCATCGAGGCCACCTTCGTCCATGCTACCACCCTCCAGCCCAGCCTTGCCGTGCTGGTCGTAAATGCGCCGCTTCTCTTCGTCACTGAGAATCTCGTATGCATGACCGATCCGCTTAAACATTTCCGCCGCCTCCTGGTCGCCGGGGTTCTTGTCCGGGTGATACTTCAGCGCAAGGCGACGATATGCCCGCTTGATGTCATGCTCCGTGGCTTCCGCTTCTAGGCCGAGAATCTCGTAATACTCTGTTTCCTTTACCATCTGCTCCCTCCTCACTGCTGCCTACCTCCCTTATCTACCAACCTTTCTTCCTCTCGTAGCACCCGCCACAGAAGTGTGTGTGTGTGTGTGCGTGTTGAAGCCCCCCGCAGCAACACGACAAAAGTAAAAAAAAAGAAAAAAAAAAAAAAAAAGAAAAGAAAGGAACCAAATAAAAAGATCCGAGGCAAAACTACCACAATAGAATTACATTAAATGCATAATGCAAACTTCATATCATCCCTTTTTCTCTGTTCCTAATTCACAATGAAACAAACAGACATACACTCACGCACAAACACACCCACGGGGGTTGGGGTTGGGGTTGGGGATGGGAAGGGGAAAGGTTGTGTACCTTATACACATTTGCGTGCGTGTGTGTGTGTGTGCCCCATTTTTAAAGCATGTCGTCACAAATAAACCTGTTGCCCTCACTCCTTCGCCCAACATAGACGGTTCGGTGCTCTGACAGGTACGTTACGGCACCCGCTCCCTCATGCCGGCGAGCATCAAAAGAAGCAAATAAATCTTCCCTTTCTACACTGTTGTTTCCACTCTGCTCCGTGTCGCGGTTGTTATTCACCCGCACCGTTATTGGGCGTTTCTCTGCGGCCCCATTATTGGTTTTTACTCTTGCCGGCCGCGCAAACTTTCCCTTTTTCTTTGCTTCTTTTGCCTCAGCCTGCGTGAAGGAATCCGTGTCAAGATGCGCAAGCTTGGGCAGCACGTACTTCACGTAAAGACGGTACCGCGTGTACTCAATCGGCAAGTGGCCGTCCAGTTCACTCGGACAGCAGGGGTTGCGGAGCAGCGAGAGATACGTCAGCGCCGGGCACTGCATGGAGACAACAGTCAACACGTCGTCCAGGCCCACGAGGCGGTTGTTGTTAAGCCACAACCGCTGAAGCCCCGGCAACGGCGGAAGCGACGACACCTCTTGCAGCTCGTTGTTGTCAAGGACGAGGGTCTGGAGGGTGGCGGCGAGATGCGAGAGGCGGCACAAAGAGCGGCTGTCAATGGCGTTGAAGCTGAGATGTGCCTCAGTGATGCTGCGGGGGGGCGGCGGCGGTGCATCCTCCGTTTGGCCATCAGCCGTGCGACCGCACAGGAGTGGAATCATGTCGAGAGAAGTCAGCCCGCATGCCACCGCGCAGAGTGTCGTTCCATCCAACACCACCCCGTCGGACATTCCGCCCCCTCCCCTCCACACACACTCACTGTGAACACAAAACACACGCAACCCCCTTTTGCCGTTATTTTTTGTCGTGTGTGCCAAAAACTACTCGCCTCAACAGCTGGAAACTAAAAGAAAAGTGGTGAGAGAGAAGTGTAAAAAGCAAACAAATGGAACACTTTTTTTTTTTTTTTTGCTCGCACCACGGCGCTCGTTAAGGCGCATGTGCCATTCAAAAATGGCAAACTTTCCTTCCCACACTTCTTCCCCTCAAAAGCATATCCCATGTATCCATGGCTAGACAGACACATCGACATGTCCCTCTCGTTCTCCCTCTGTGCAAATCTGACCAAAAGAAGCAAACAAACAAACAAAGAAGGGCGATCACTTCTCCTCAACAAATAATTGACACCCCCCCCCCACTCTCTGTAAAAAAAAACAAAACAAAACAAAAAAATAGAAAAAAAAGAAAGGAATTCAAAAGAAAAACAAAACAAATACCCCTCCGCCAAATCTCTTAGACACACACACACACACACAGCAGTACCCTAGTGCGCATCCATGTACTGCTGAGGGAGAAAATAATAATAAGAAGGTAGCAAAACAAGGCGACTAATTCCGCCTTCCGCTAGCGCAAAATTTCAAATTCCGCTGCTTCTGCAAGAAATGTAGGGCGTTTGAGCGACGCGTCTCACCAGCACTACTGCTGCCCGGCGTATGTGGCGCCACGCCCCCCTTAACGACCCTCACTGCCAGCTGCGTCTCCAGCTCGTAGCAGTACAAGGATTGCTCGGTGAGTTCCTCGAGAAGGGATACAACCAACTCCTGCAGTGCCTCCACATGACTCTCACGTGCCAGCGCCGCGGCCTGCAGCTTCTGGTTTGTCTCCGAGAGGTGCGTCCACTCAGGCCTCTGCGACGCAAGTAAACGCCGTGCCCCAAGAAGCTCGCGGCTCTCTAGCGTCACAGCCGCCGCAATTGTCGCGTAACTTTCGTTCGCCGCCTCTGCCACCGCACGCTGCTCCTGCAGGTGCAAGGCAAGATCCACAACTTTTGCTTCCAGTGCCGCCAAAAGCAATTCGTGGCTTTCTTCTTCTCCCCCCTCTTCCTCCTCACACACATCTCTTCGGCTGCCGTCACTAGGGCCACTGTTGTTGTTTCTACTCGTCTCGTTATGGACGGATCTTGGCGACGCCGCCTCCGCCTCCCCTCCGCGTCCACCACCACCACACTTCCGGTTTCGTTTCATCGTTTCCCAGTGGAAGAGGTGGGGCTGCCTGCTCCAACACAAAACGTGCCTCCCACACACGCACGGCTGCCTGTGCCGCGCCAAGAGCCTCCTGCAGGGCAACGTGTTCTTCTTGCACGGCAGCCCAGTACTGTTGCCGCGCCTCAATCTCCGCACGCGCCGCTGTGAGGTACGCAATCGACTCCGAATTTGTTGCAAGTACCGCCTGCAGTTCTTCCTGCAGTGCGGCCTCGCGTTCAACGACGGCGTCGTGCTCCACCTGTCGGCGACGCAAAGCATCACGCTCCTCCTGCGACTCCTGAAGGGCCCTACGCAATCTGTCATTCTCCCCAGCCGCTTGCTGCACCGCCTCGCGCAGTTCACCTAACATCACCTCGAGACGGTCGCACTGCCCGGCCAGAGCGTCTATTTCCTGCCGCAGCAAATCGGCCTCGCGTTGCAGCCGCTGGTGCCGCTCACGCCACATCGTCAGCTCCACCTGCTTCTCCTGCAGCGAAGTCGTGGCATGGTGCAGCTGCTCCTGCAGCTCCTTCTCCCGCTGCAACGCTGTGCGAGATGTCTGAACACACTGCCGCAGCGCCGCCTCCTTGGACGCCATTTCCACCTCAAGTCTTGTCTTTTCTGATTCGCAGGCGGACAGCGTAGACACCTGCTCACGTAACCTCTTCAGCTCAAGCCTGTCGTGATCCACTGCCGCGCCCGTGATGGGTGAGTGGGGCACCCCCGTCGGATGATGACTGCTGTTTCTCGGACTGTCCGCGATGCCACCGTGATGGCCCTCCTCCCTCTCATCATGCAAGGCTGCTGCTGGTGGCGCTGCTGCCGTGTGGCAACGGGATCTGGCGAGGGCGCCGCGGATGACGTCCAGGTCATTTTGGATCTCCTCCATTTCCACCTTTTCTAACATCGCAGAGAAAAGAAAAATAATAGTGAAATAAAAAAAAAAAAAAAAAAAAAATGGGGGTGGCAGGGAAATTCAAATCCACAGCCACACGCAGCAATACACCCAATGCTCCATCCCTCCCCGCAGCAGGCATACATGTTCGCAGAAGAACAGAAATAACAAACAAAACAAAACAAAACAGAAACATCACAAAGAAACAAAACTCGTGTTCAATGCGACTCGCTAAAAAAAAGAAAAAAGAAAAAAAGAACTCACAATTCACACACAACAGAAAGAAAAACAACAACAACAACAACAACAAAAACAGGCATCTCGATTGGTCCATTGTCATCCCTATCAATTTTCTTTTTTATCTTTTTTTTTTTTAAAGACCTTTTTCCTTCGCTCCTCCCTTCATTATTATGTCTTCCCACTCACATTTCCCCCCCCCCCCCTCTCCCCTCTTTTTTTTTTAGGCACAAAAAAGCTACAGAAAAAGTAAAACAGCACCGCCTCCCCGAGTGTCCACTCATTGCCACGAAGTCATTCCGTGTGCACCGCGTCTCCGCCCTCTCATCATCTTTTTTTTTCTTTTTTTGTGAATTCCGTCGCCACGGCTGTGGCCATCTCTCTTCTCTCCCCCATCCCCGTGCACACAGCAGTACTTTGAAGGGGTTTGGGCTTTACACATCAATTTCCTTCCAGCGTTCATCTACCTGCTGCCGCGATCGGATGTAGTGCGTCGTGTTGCGGTAGAAAGTACGTGCTGCAGTGTACACCTCCCTTTCCGAGTTGACATAATCGCCGTTGTTTTTATTTTCCCCCTCCATGCCATCGCAGGGTTCCTCCACCTCGAGGCCGTCGTCACTGTTACTGCCGGTAACCATACTATGGGTGCTGTTCGTCGTCTCCTGCACTAGGTCGATGAGGGCAGAGATGTAATTCACCGTCACCCCTGGCGCCTTTGTGGCGTAGTAGTGCAGCACCTGATTAAGCAGCTCAACAAAGAGAGGGAGCCGTTGTGTCTCCTGCACGTGATCGGCAATCTTCAGGGAGCGCTGCAGACACTCCAAAACACGGCGGTGACTCTCCTCGGAGAAGGCGCTTCTCCAGAAGAGATTGGCACAGAGAGAAACCACACGACTCTGATCAATCTTACGCACAAACTTGGAACTGTACTGACAGACTTTGGTCGCGAGCAGCTCGTAGCTCTCCTCTGGGACGTTGCGCAGGCTGTAGAGGGAGGAGATAAGGCAACTCACCATTTCAATCTGCTCCCGCGTATCGGCGGCATTCTCCTCGTAAATCTGAAAGGCGCTGGTGTAGAGCTCATAAGCCACATCGGGCAGGCCACATGTGTCTGCGGCGTTGGCGCTGGTAAGGTAAAGGTAAAAGCTCTCCGTCGGCTTCTCTGCCGCAAGCATCTCAAGAATGCCCTTGCCGTCACCAGAGTGAATGATCTGAAAGGGCTTGTGGCACGACACCCTTTTCACCGCCTTAATGTTGTTTTCCCCATCTGTCTTGGCATCAACATCCGCTCCCTCTGTTTTGGCCGTGATTGCAACGCGTAGCGCAAGACGGATGTAAAGAGAGACTAATGTCGGTAACGTCACGGCAATGCGCTCCGGCCCGCCTTGCCCCAGCAGCTTCCGTACACCATTCAACATTTTCATCTGCATGGAGACGTCTTCGCATTGCAGTAGATGCAGCACGCGAGACACGAGGTGCTGCTCTTCAAGGAATTCCTCCGCGGCATCGCCAACATACACAGCGCCGTGGTGCAAAGGTGCGTCCGGCTCATCCCGTACAAGCGGTGCAAGGAGCTCAAAGAGCCGCGCGCACAAATCAAGCGTTCCAATGCGATGAGATGCGGAGCGCACAATGTTCGTGCACAATCTGAGTGCCACCGCCCGACGTGAAAGAAATGGCAAATTTTGCGTCAAAACGTCCATGTCACGAATGCCAAGTACAACACTTGGGTCTTTCAATGTCTCAATAACGTGCACAATCATGCGTTCAATCATCGTCACCATTGCGTGGTTTAGCGGGAGGACGAGTTGCCCTGCCATAGCGGTAAAGACGGTACTAATGTGCTCCACAGCAGCCTCCGGGTCTGCCTTTAGGGTCAGACTGACAAGGCTCGTCATGGAGTTGACATACAAAGAGGGTGTAAGTTGGTAATGCGGACGCTGAGGACCGTCGCCACTGCTACTAGTTCCACTAACAAGGGTATGATTGCTTTTATCCCTCACATGACTTGCGGTCAGCATGGCGTCAAGGCGTGTTTTAAAAACTTCAAACATATTCTGCAGCAATTTTTCCTCCTTCCGGCCGCTTACCTCCGCAACGCCTTCCCGCAGCGATACCGCGTAGTTGCCAAGCCGCTCCATGAGCGAGGCCAAAATGGCGCACACATCCACGCCCGGTGAGACATCCTCAAGAATACTGAGCAGCTCATTGAGGGTGAAGAGATGAAACTCGTCGGGAAAGACTTGGACAATAACTTCCAACAGGTACTGCTGCGCCAGGGGCTCACGATACTTCACGATGATGCTTAATAGACGCGGAAGAATGTTGCTCTTGTACAACTGTCGTTCCACCCCCTCTAACTGAGAAAGCCGTACAATGTTCATGCCTACAAGCACACACAACTCCCTACGATCCTTTTTTTTGCGCTGCACCTGACTCTGAGCCTCCACGGCCTTCGGTGGTGCCCTTGCCTCTATACGGATCCATAACCAATTCATCTCCCTGAAGTTCTGCAGAATCAGCTCGGCTGTGTCCTCCACGGTCCCACCATCACTCTCCAGACTGTTCGCAATAACACGGTTGCTGTCGCCAGGCAACTTGTTCTTCATCATTGTCAGGAGAAAGTGACGCAAGAAGAGACCACGTGTAGGGTGTTGTACCCCTTTGCACATCTCCACCAAATCCCGCAGAATCTCAATGGCTGGCTGTTCCCCGGACTTGACATACACCGAGCCAACGGTTATGAGGAGATACAAACGTGGCACAATGTTACCGGCGTGCTGCACCACTTCATACATTTCCTCCAGAGACCGGCCACGGTTGTGTTCCTCCTCTATGTACTGCTCCAAGTACTGCATCTCGTCAAAGACCTTTACATAGAGCTCATAGTAGTACTGCGGTGCCAACATGCCGATACGAAGCTCTAAGAGCATCTGTGACGCGCTGCGCATGACTTCAATAAATTCGCGTTGACGAATATATTTCTTCATACGAGCCGCCTTCTCCGTCACTGCCTGCACGGTCTCACCAAGCCATTTCTCCTGCTCCTGCTTTGGTGTCAAAATGGGCCTGTTGATGGAAATAAATTCCGTGTTGTTCGTCATAGGCGCATTCATAGGCATAACCACCACCCACTCCCCTGTCCTTGTCTGACGTGTCCCTTTTCTCTAAAGCCTCCCCTTTCCCCTGCTTCACCCCCGCCCCCCTCTCTCTCTCTCTCTCTCTTCCTCAACAATAGTACTGGCAGTCGTACCGCTCCTATATTATTATTATTATTATTATTATTATTTTCTTCTTTCCCTCTAGATTTTAATATTTTGTATACGTAATTACTAATGCTCTCTCCTTCTCACTTTCTTTTTGCTCTTCACCCTCACGCACACGGGGATGAGCAAATACAGACTGGCTGCCACCAATCTTCTTCCTCTGCACCACACTCCCTCCTCTTCTTTTCTTCCTTTTTTATCTTATTTTTTTTCCTCAAACAGCAGGCACACACAAACACCACCCCCTCCAGCAAAGGGTTAACAGTAATTATAACGAAAAAAAAAAGGGAAATGAACAACAAATGACAGTCAATCAACACACATGCATGCAGACAGGCAGACAGAAAGAAAGGCTAATAAGGCATGCTCGAGACGATGCAAACAACACCCTCAAAAGGCAAAGAGGTATAGGAGCCTTTTTTATTTTTATTTTTATTATTTTCACTTCTTTTCATACACACAAACATATTAATAAATAAATAAATAAATATTTTCCTTTATTCCACATTTCGCACATGAAATATCTCCTGCTTCCCCGGGCACGGCAGAATTGTTGTTACATGGAAGTCACCAGCAGTAAAAACAAAAAAAAAAAAAAACAAAAAAGGCCTTTTCTGTGCCGTCTCCGCTACGAGAGAAGGGACGAACCCCCTCCCCTCCCCCCCTCCAAAAAAAAAAAGAAAAAAGAAAAAAAAAGGCGCAGAACAGAGAAGGAAACACAACAGCCACAGTCAACGAGCGTCAAAACTGCGTGTCCCTGCCTAGACGCAATACATCCACTTTTACATTGTTGCTTCGCAGACCTGAAGGCAGCCAAAGCTTTTGACAACATCTACGAGGCACGCTTCCAGCTCCTCCACCTGCGCATCACCGAGGAAACTAATTTTGTCTAGTTGCAGGGTAAACATGGAATCCGAAACCCGCTGGAACCTATTCTCAACGGTACCTTCACTACTCGTATTCTGCCGCGCACAAACTGCAAGAATGGCATCAGCAATAGACTGAAGCTCCATTTCAGTGATGTGGCCTGTTATATGCACCTCCACCGGGTCCAGCTCGTAATGGATAACGAGTAACTCACGACCTTGCCGCCCAACCGCCGTCTCACCTTCGTGATCACCCGGCAATGACACATCACAAACGGTAGAAGGCGCTGCTGTTCCTTTTCTTCCTGCTTCTGCTGCTGTCAATGTTTTCATTCCACTTGTTTCAGGCAACGTCACGGCATTGCCGGAAAAATGTTTAGTCAGTGCTTTCATCTGCTGTGTTCCCACGCCATAAGCATTTATCCGAAGCCCCCGCATAAGCTGCACGTATAAAGCAACCATTTTTTGTGTTTCTTCCCTTTTTTGCCTCACGGACTCAAAGTTGTCATATAAACCAGTTGGTGGCGCGTTGTTGTGCGACGCCCCCTGCTGCGGGTCATCTATGGGGAGGGCAGCAGTCCCGGTAAGAAGCGGAGGCAAACAAGAGTGACTCGGCAGAGAGACAACAAGGCAAATGTTTTGATGGCCAAAGTGTTGCACGCTGTGGACAAAGCTGGTGATATCTGCGTCGTTTTCAATCGACAGAAGCCCCTCCTTTTCGGCAATACGGCATGATATTTCCATGAGACAGGGCCAGCAGAGAAGCGTCTGCAGCGAGTGCTTAAGACTGCGCAGCGTCGGTGGATGCTTGAAGTCGATGCGTATCTCGCCCATCTTTTTGCCGCGGGCATCCATAACACTGATGTCCTTCACGCCTTGAGGAACAGACTGCATCGATGGCGCCTCTGCAAACATGTCATGCCTACAGACACAAAGAAGCCCGGTTTCGGAGCAGCGGTATAACAGGATTACTTCCAACGGGATGGCAGCCTCATTCCCCTCTCCTCCGCCGCTATTTTTACTGTTCCCACCATCCCCGGCGACAACATCTGAAGACGCATCATGCACACCAACATCAAACGATTGTAGCTCCCGCCGCAGAAATTCTCTTGTCCACTCCCACTGCTTCCGGTTGATGATCAGCTGTGGACCAAACGCCTTTGTCTGCGCCTCCAGTATCAGTTGGAACTGCAACTCTCTTCTGGACCCTGACTGGTTGGAGTTTGCCTCGTTCTCACTCTGTGATACCGGCCGCTCGGGAATAAGGCGCGCAAGTACCTCATTTCTCGCGCTTCCGTGGGCTGTCACGAGGGGTGCGGTGATGTCGTCATGCGGAAAAACAAACTTGGAAAACAAATCGGGAAGTGCGAGCTGCACAAGTCGTGCCATTTGGCGGGTGAGTGTCTCCACGTCATTCGCGTCCAAAAGAATGACGGATTTCGGCCCAAAATAAATCCGCAACTTCATTTTTGAATGCCCAGACCGGACAATAAAATCAACGCAACGTCTTCTCCCACCTTTTCTTCTTCTTTGTGCCCTTCTACCCTACACGGCCCTCCTGCAGGACCGGCCGCAGCGTGGCGCTCATCATGTGTGTGAGTCACATGCAACAAAAAATAAAAAACAAAAACAAAACAAAGACAAAAAACAAGAAAAAGAGGGATAATTCCACAAGCAGGAAGGGGAAAGGAAGCATCAGAGCCCCGCCCTCCCAATGACGACAACAACAACGACGATGCCATGCTTCGTCATTGGATGATGCGATGTGCCCATTAACCATCCCGTCCGCGACCAAAACAAATGCTCCGGTGGGGACGACTGTAAGTCGTGGGCACATGTCCCTCCTACGCACCAAATGATCGCCCCCCCCCCATCCTCCCTCCTCCTCCTCTTTTTTCATCATCCACACACCGCCACGTCAATACTGCTCGAAATGGTCCAACTTTCTCTCTGTCCCCCCCTCACACAAACGAGAGAAAAAACAAAAAGAAAAGAAAAAAAGACAACAATGACGTAGCGGCACTTCACTCCTCCCCGTCCTTCTCACTTAATTCCTCTTTGCTGTGCCCTTCAGCATCGATGTTTCGGCTTTTGTTTGAGCCACCATTTTCATTTCCACGTGACCGCTTTTGACGGGACACTGCGGATGCATTGGCCCCACAGTTCTGGTCGTTCGACTCTTCATTCTGCTGCAGAAGTTGCTGGTGGTGCTTGGCCACCTCGTCCGGGTCAAACACCAGCGGTGTGTGACCAAAGGTACGCTGCACTGCCCCCTCAAACGAGGCACCGGTGGCATCTATGTTCTCCAGCACATACGCCTGCGACGCCGCATCCAAGTTGTGCATGATTTGCATGCCACACAGACTAAACAGATTTTCATATGTATCTTCCATAAACACGTGAGAAATCGGGTGATCCCATGGTGCGACGTCATGATCATCATTAGGAGCCATATTATTATTATTATTATCATCATCATCATAATCGTTAAATACGGAGGGGTTTATGTCTATAGCTTCATGCGTGGAGGAGGTCCGGCCATTTTGGTTATCACCGCCGCCAGCGCTACTACCAGCCCCTCCCAGGGGAGGCAGTCCCTTCGCTAGGCGAAGACGATTGCAGCGCCGACAGACAAAGAAGGTTCGATCATGTTGCAGCTCACACGTCTGGCACATGAAGGCTTGCTCATCTCGGATCGTATTTCCACAGTGATCACAGTTGTCATGCAACGGCAACATCATCTCGTTGATGGTAGCAGTGGTGGCGCGTGGGACAAATCTTTCATACGCTTCTCGACAGGGTGTGCATTTACACGTCATTTCCTCCGTGAACGCATCTACCGGGAAAAGCATGCCGTGGAACGGGTAGACATCACTTGGACACGGAGCATCGGCGTCCATTCCACATGACACAATGCGTTTGTGCTGTTCCACCGGCACCCGTTCCGGCAACTCTCCGCCGTAACACTGCCTCGGGTCGTTTTCCAGAATCCATGGGTATTCCTGCATGCACCGCGCACAAATAAAACCCATAAATGGGTCATTGTTCATGATTTCAATGGCGACATCCGACGGCATCGGCATGTAGAGAGCAGCGTCGCCCGCCTCCTCTTCGGGGACAAACTCCGCGATGGAGCAGCAGCCGCGACATCCACAACTGAACTCCACACCCTCCGGGGCTCCATTCCCGGTGCCGTCCTTCCGTGAAGGGAAAATATACTCCGGATCCACGTCATGATCCTTGTGACAGCGCAGCCGGCAGGGAGTGCAGACAAGTGTGTCACACGTGCGGCACAAGAAGGCAACCAAAACACCCTCAAACACATCGCCATAGCACGGGACGCGGCGGAATGCGTCACTACAAAGACGCGTCATATGTGAACTCCAGTAACACGATGCACACAACATGCAGACAACACCGCCACCGTCCGCGTCATCAGCGGGGGAGTTTTCCTCGCATTCACAGTAACACCACGAGCTTAGCGTGCGCGGGTAGCGATTTTTACTATTCATTGGAACCACAGATGTCGCCGGGGGCAGACCTGTTGCGGAATCGACAATAAAACAACATTGCTGTTGCTCTTGTTCTTCTCCTTCTCCTTGCACCCCCTGTGGCGTCTCTTCGCCATTTTTGTTTTCCGTTTCTTTATTGTTCTTCTCGACATTGTGCCAACACGCAGCGGTGCAACAGTCGCAGCGCATGTAATAACGCACACCCCACTCCTCCACGTCATGCGAGGCGTGACAGACATCCGCGCAGGCGTAACAAATGGCGTGTGCCGGGTTCGCTCGTCCACTCCGCACGCATGTTCGGCAGACAAAGGCAACCTGCCGCGCGTATCCCTTGCTGTAACTGCAACGGTACCAACGGCTATCAACTTCCACTGTCGTTGAGACAAGTCGATGCAGCTGCGCCATTGCCTCCTCGTTTATGTGCGGAACGGCGGTGGCGGACCCAATCAGCATGACCGGAATGGTGACAGCGGGCAATGACGCTCCCGCCTCACCGCCCCCAGCGGTGCCCGGAGGCTCGGCAGCAATCAGATCCATCAGGCGCACCTCATTGCGCCCTTCACGACGGTGTCGCTTAAGCACCGGCCCACCAAACATCAATCGTTGCTTTTCCCGCGGCACCCCGCTTCGCCGCGCAAGTTCATTCTTCAAGTTACCAACCGTTGCAGTCGCGGCGGGAAAAACAAGTACCATTTTTTGCCCGGCGTGCGTCACCGCAACGCGTATTTCCGCCGCACCAACAGCGTCCTTGTTGTGACATGGGACCATGTTGTCGGGATTCCTTCAGCAGGGTTTCAAACAACAACAACAACAACAACAAAAGAGAGGGTGGAAGAAAAAAAAAGGGGGGGCGTAAAAAAGCGGGAAGGGGAACAAATACCACACATGAAGATGCAAACATACACACGTGTGTAGGAGCGTCAATAGGCGGAGGCGGAGTCGGAGATGGAAAAGCCGTGGCAACACCCGCAACAAATAAAGCCAACGAACAAAACCCTGGAATGGCACCCACTCACCCACCCACCCACCCACGTACGCACGCATATAAACAATAATAAAAAAAGAAACAACAACAACAACAACAACATACGCGTATATATAAATATACATATCTTTTATTTTATTTTATTTTTGTTTTGTTTCTGAACATGTATAGGAACTTCCTTTAAGAAAGCACGCATATTAAAAACAAAATGGAAATAAATACACGCACAAAACAAAACAAAAACAAAACAAAAAAAAAGAGGATGATGGGGAAATGAGACGTAAATAAAAATAATAAACAAAAACAAAACAAAAAAAAAAAAAAAGGGGTCCGGCAAAAAAAAAATTTCCCCCCGCTCTTAGGTCTTTTTCAAACCCCCTTTTCCCCCCATTTTTTATATATTTTTATTTTTATTTTTTCTATTTTCCCAACAAATTCTGGTCGTTGGCGCGTGGTAACGCTCCTGACCGTCACGACGCTCTCTGCCAAACGCCAAAGTTGACAGCGTCAAAAACCGTTCAGCCACCCGGGATGCATATAAAATCCGGTTTCGGCACACGTGGGGTTAAAAGACATCTCATCAAAAAACGCGCAGCGGGTGGCTTTGCCATGTGTGACCACTTATGCACCTCGTTGGTAATAGCAATGAAGATGGTTAGTGTTAGCAGAAACACATGCCTACCCACGTTTTCACTGTCAATATTTATTCATATTTGTTGTTTGCTCTCTCCTGCCTCCTCCGTGCTGCACACTGAGGGAAAAATGCCACGGATGCAACATGACATAAAAACTGCCCTCCCACACTTTCCCCCCCACCCCCCCACAACTTCTCTCTTTCTCGCCGTGCTCCACGCACCACCGGTAGCGTTCCAACAGAATTACTCCAGCGGTCTCCAAAAAATGTGGCCTGGTGGTGATGATGGGAGTGTCACGCGTACAAAACAAACAAAAAAACACACACACACAAAAAAAAGAGAAAAAAAAGAAAGAAAAGCAAACAAACAAGCCCTAAACGCACAAACACACACGCAAAGAAGAGGAAAATAATAATAAAAAAAAGGCCACAAATGCTTTTTTTTTCCTTTTTTCCTTTTTTCTTTCTTTCTTTTTAAATTATAACTTCCCTCTCTTTCTCTCTCTCTTTAAATATAATTATATTTGAAGGCTCGTTTCATTTTCCTCCGCGCTGCATGTCTTTTTTCTCTCCGCCAAGTACTCTCGATCCATGCCGTTCCTTCCATGCCGGCAACACCAACACGGAGTACAACCACACAAAGACATACACATGCATGCGGGGTAAATAGAGAACAACACGTAAAGGGAGCCGCCACCACAGTTGATCATGCACACATCGTAATACTTTCTTTTTCTTCGGCTGGTGCTGGGTGAAAATGCGTCAGTTCATAAGAAGTAGTGATATTGAATGATTTCATATTTATAAATTTTTTTTTTTTTTTTTTTTTTGATACACAGTCGGCGCTACTGCGGCCGTACCAGTATGCATCAATCGGCTCCGTGCCAAGGACAGACGTTACCGCCGCCTTGATGTCAGTCAACGTGACGTACTTCGGCACCCTCACAAGGCGAGCATAATCCGTGCTTCCCGTTCTGTTGAACTGGGGGCGTCCCCGTGCGGGGTCCCCGTACTGCCTGTAGCCGCCGCCGCTGCTGTTGCTGCTGCTGCTACCCTGGGAGCTGCTGTTTTCTTTCTTGTTTCCTCCTTCATTGCAGTTTCTTCGGGCACTCGCCTTGACGCGACAGCCTCATTCCTGTTGATGATGTTTTTTCCTCAATTTCGGCCCTGCCCTAAGACGTTTCTCCGCGTTGAGCGCGAAGCCTGGGATGCTGGGTTGGTGAAAAGGCGAGGGCCCACCAAATATATAAAAAAAGAAAAAAGTAAAAAAGAAAAAAAGAAAAAAATTACACTTTGAACACATGCCCCCAAAGGCCCAGTCTGGCGTAGTAGGGCGGCAACATGCACACACCTACCTACCTACCTACCCAACAACAACAACAACAACAAGACACAGACACACAGGCATACAGGCAGGCTGATGGTTTATATTTCCCCCTCACCGCCCCACGCCGACTGGCAAGCGGAAGGGACATAATTGTTGGGTGCCTCCTCCCCCCCCTCCCACACAAAACAACAACAACAAAAAAGAAATCCAATTATCATTCCCTGCTATTATGTCGCCCTGCTGCCATCCCCACCGCTGCACCGCCCTCCATCCCTCTACACAAACACGGCCGCAGAAAGAACCCTCCCTCCAACAGAAAAAAAAAAAAGCAAATAAAAAAAAAAAAGACACCCCGCCGTGCCAAATGTTCTCCCCATCCCTTCTTTTTTTTTTTTTTTTAATTGCCCTCAACTTCCTTTGAACCTCCTCCTCCTCCTCCTCCCAAAAAGTTTCGCTCAAACCGGACAAAAAGACAAAAAAACAAACAAACAAACAAACACATCCTTTCAGTTTTGTTTTAGTTTTTCCCCCCCCTCCCCAATTCTCATCTCTCATCTCTCATCACCGTTATATTTTTATTTTCTCCTCCCCCCCCAAAGTGGGGGTTTTGCATGCGTGTGGCACAAATTCCGTACATTGCACACAAGTATGTCAAGAAGGCGAATACGACGACGACAACAAAACGACGATGCTCCATGTAAATTTTTCCTTCTTCAATGCAGTTCCCAGCCGTCCATTGTTACGATTATAATAAATTATTAAATAAATAAATATATATATATAAATATAAATATATATGTTTCCCTTTTTTCCTGCTAACCTTCCTCATACCACTCCCCCCCCCCCCCCCCATTCCTGCCGCACCTGCAACGCCCGCGCCGCGTTTTTGCCTCGATTTGCGGTGCCAAATTGTGGGGGGCTTCTCCTCCCCACCCGTACGGCGCCATGCGGTTGCAAAAAATGCAAATCTTCCCCCCGCTCTTACTGTCTTTTTCAGGCCTTCTTTTCCCCCACCCCCCATTTTTTATATATTTTTATTTTTGTTTTTTTCTATTTTCCCAACAAATTCTGGTCGTTGGCGCGTGGTAACGCTCCTGTGAGAGCCGTCACGACGCTCTCTGCCAAACGCCAGAACTTGACAGCGTCAAGAAACCCGTTCAGCCACCCGGTTGTGATGCAGTAGCTAATGTCAAAATTTCCGCGGTGGTGTTTTCGGTGCACACGTGGGGTTAAAATGAGGTGACATCTCATCAAAAAACGCGCCAAGACGGGTGGCTTTGCCATGTGTGACCACTTATGCACTTCGTTGGTAATAGCGATGAAGATGGTTAGTGTTAGCAGAAACACATGCCTACCCACGTTTTCACTGTCAATATTGTATTCATAGTTGCCATGTGTATTGGCAGAGAAAAGATAGTAACGCTGTAGAAGCAACACTGGGATAAGTGGAAGCGTCGTATCGGCATTTGTCTCAATGAAGTCATGTTTGGTCATGGCTACTTGATCCACATGATGCTCACGGAAGGAACGAATAAATTTACCAAAGACCACCGTCTCGGGGGTTCCCCACGTATCAAGTCCCCAGTGGGCCATACCGCCAATAAAGTCTGCCAGCGTCATGGCAAAAAAGACCATCAGTGGGCTCCACGCAAGATGCACAAGATTCACCTCACCGCTGTGAACAAAATAACGGGCCACAATAATAAATTGTGTAAACCACAAGTAAGTGGCAAAAGAAAGATAACAACATTCCATAAAACGCTTCTGTTTGGTGTAACCGGCTGCAAGTTTCTTCGCATTTGCCTTGCGGATGGAGAACTCGTCCTCAAACACACCAGTCTTGCCCTCTTTTACGCTGCTCATGATTTCTCCCTCGTGTATTTACACCCCCTCCTCTTTTTTCTTTTCTTCTTCTTCTTCTTCTTATTATTATTATTATTATTTTTTTTTTTTCGCCGCAATACCACGACTGATTTCTTTTGCAATTTAATGCCTAAATCTATTTTAAAAGAAGTATGTCTCTGTGTATCAATGTGTACTTTGCCTACTGCTCGTAGCTTCCTTCCCCTCCCCCTCTCTCAAAAGAGTATTTATTTCGAGCATACACACACACACACAGAGAGAGAGAGAGAAAAACAAAGAAAAGAACCAGCGGGACTCTCAACGCCTCTGCAACAGACACATAAACAGAGAAAGAAATCAAAGATATCTAATATATATATATATCTATACATGTATACATGTATATGGCTGCTGAAGGGGATATAAATATGTGCGACGTATGCATGCATGCACCCTCCTGCCTCCTCCGTGCTGCACACTGAGGGAAAAATGCCACGGATGCAACATGACATGAAAAACTGCTCTCCCACACAACTTCTCTCTCTCCTTCTCGCCGTGCTCCACGCACCACCGGTAGCGTTCCAACAGAATTACTCCAGCGGTCTATAAAAAAATGTGGCCTGGTGGTGATGATGGGAGTGTCGCGCGTACAAAAACAAACAAACAAACAAACAAAAAAAGAAAAAAAGAAAGAAAAGCAAACAAACAAGCCCTATACACACAAACACACACGCAAAGAAGAGGAAAATAATAATAAAAAAGGCCACAAATGCTTTTTTTTTTCTTTTCGTTTTTCTTTCTTTCTTTCTTTCTTTTCTTTTTAAATTATAACTTCCCTCTCTCTTTAAATACAAATATATTTGAAGGCTCGTTTCATCTTCCTCCGCGCTGCATGTGTTTTTTCTCTCCGCCAAGTGCTCTCGATCCATGCCACTCCCTCCAGGCCGGCAACACCAACACGGAGTACAACCACACAAAGACATACACATGCATGCGGGGTAAATAGAGAACAACACGTAAAGGGAGCCACCACCACAGTTGATCATGCACACATCGTAATACTTTTTTTTCTTCGGTTGGTGTTGGGTGAAAATGCGTCAGTTCATAAGAATTAAAGCTGATTGATTGATTGAATGATGGCCTTCAGTTATTTCCTATTCATTATTATTATTATAAAAAAGGTTTTTTTTTTTTTTTTCCTCTTCTTTTATTTATTTAATTTTTTTTTTCCTTTTTTTTTTTTGTTTATTGGCGGGGAAGTAAATATTTTCCTTTCGTTTCTACGGGTAGAACTTTGCAGCACTCAGCCTCGACTCCAGCACCGTCACGGAATCTCGCACCAGCTGCTCCACAGCATTGGACGACCGTAGCTGCAGCACACAGTCGGCACTACTGCGGCCGTACCAGTATGCATCAATCGGCTCCGCGCCAAGGACAGACGTTACCGCCGCCTTTATGTCAGTCAACGTGACGTACTTCGGCACCCTCACAAGGCGAGCATAATCCGTGCTTCCCGTTCTGTTGAACTGGGGGCGTCCCCGTGCGGGGTCCCTCGTACTGCCTGTAGCCGCCGCCGCTGCTGTTGCTGCTGTTTTCTTTCTTGTTTCCTCCTTCCTTGCAGCTTCTTCGGAGACTCGCCTTGACGCGACAGCCTCATTCCTGTTATTGATGTTATTTTCCTCAATTTCGGCCCTGCCCTCAAGACGTTTCTCCAGCGCGGCCTTTGAGCGTGGAACAGGTCTGGCGATGCTGGGTTTGCTGCCGCCATTTTCTGATTTGGCGACTGCCGTGCTTGGCTGCTCGCGTGAGCGCAAGGGACGTGTGTTTTGTGGCGCAGGTCCCTCCTCCAATACGCCCCTCTCGTCGCGGGCCCTCACGTTGTCGTTCCTCTCCCCACGCATGCCATCGTGACGTTCCCAACGGCGTTCACCGTTTCTTTCATTTCGCTCATCGTACCTGCCATTGTTTCGCTCCGCACGCTCAGGCCGGTTGTTTCGGCTGACGCTCCCTTCATTGCGAATGAGAGTCCGCGTATCTGTTCGGTCTCCCCGCCTGTCGTCATTCCATTCCACGCGATCCCTGCGGTTGCTTGTATTGTTTCCATAGCCGTCGTTGCGGGTGCCGTTGTTTTGACGCTCATGACGCCCATGACGGGGCTCCTGTTCCCCACGTGTCTGGTGGAATTCCTTCCGTCGCGCCGCCTCCTCCAATTGCTGCAGCCGAAGGGCCTCCGCGGCCGCTTGTTGTCGCCGAAGCTGCTCACGCGACTCCTCCATGCGCTTGCGGCGCTCGTGTTCCTCCAGCAGATGTTGTGCAACCTGCGCCGGGGTCATGATGATGCTGTCCTCCGGGATCTGTTCCACCTCGACCACCATCACACGAAAGTAGTCGATGGCGATGTGGTACGTGTTGGTGCGGTACTGCGTCGGGGCCAACACAAACACCTGGAAGAAGGCCCTGCGCTGGCCGCGGAGGTACAAGATGCCCTGGCAAACAATGTGGATACACCCACCTGGCAGCGGGGTAAAGTCGGCAAAGCGCACCTCCACCTTGCGGCGGCCAAGCGCATCGTCCATCTTGCCGAGATGCTGCGCAATCTCGTGCCGGCCCTGCGCCACGACGGTGGTCTCCTCATTGTACCCGGCGTATGTGATCAGCGAGGACTCCCCGTAGAGCTCGACAAGACCAACGACCTCCTTCTCCTTTACAAACTCACGGTAGTAAGTCACGAGAAAGCTACAGGCAACCCCGGCAACAGTGTCACGACCCAACATTGCCGCTACCCCTTCTTCCTTTTAAACAAACAAGTCAAGTGGTCTTGTGTCCAACAATGAGGTATAATATATATATATATATATTATACGTGAATTTGTGTTTGTGGCTCCTCCTCCTTCTTACTGTGGTGATTCTTCAGTGATGGGCTTTGCTGCTCAGTCCCTCAGCCTCGCCGGCTTCCTTAATTGGTGCGGTGCGTACGGTCTCAACGAATAAAGAAAGGCCTTAAAACTTTAATTCTTCGAAAAGAAAAGAAAAGAAAAAAATCTCGCTTAAATAATTTTTCGCTTTCAAACACTCAAACACGAAAGACACAAGAAAAGAAAAGCAGAAAAGAAGAAGTAACGGAGGAACCAGAAATTAGTCAAATATAACATATTCGTAGACACACACGCTGTTGCATGCATGCACCCAATAAAAGCGTAAGAAACGCCTTGGCGGGGTAAAAAAACAACAAAAAAAAACAAATAAAAAACATAAACAACTGGGAGGCGACGCAAACACATTTATAACTGAGATGGATGCAGCTCTCCTGGCGGGTGCTGCGCGGCCATGAGAGGAGGCACTTCCTTCGCTAGCTGCCGTGCAAGTGGTGCCATGTCCGTCGTGTCATCCAGCAGCTCGTTCAAATACAGCAGGGCGTCCGGTCTCTCATTCGTGATGCCACGTATGGCATTGTTTGCCTTCTTCCCAACGGCACCACCGAGCGCCACATCGAGCATCCCGCGCACATTGTCAATCTTTTCCAGACGCTTGCCTAGATCGATCCCACGTTCCTCCTCAACGTGTAGGATGCGCTCCAGCCCCGCAACAGAAACGGGCTCTAGCCGTTTCTCCACAAAGTAATCAATCAGACCGTATTTACCAAAAAATCCCCTGTTCTCCGCACCACTCACGTGACTGCTGCTATCGGCATGCTGCTCGCTGCTGGAAGATGATGGGACCGACGTGCTAATCCCATCATCCGTGGGAAGGACTTTATTGTCCAGGTCTTCAAAAATCGACGCCACGGTCTCCTGCGCATCCATGAGAGACTGCAATATGACGCCTTTCGGTCCATTCTTTACCCACCCCGCGCAGTACAGTCGCGGCTGCCCCGTCACACGACCATGCTGGTGCGGAATGACGCCACGTGCATGATCAAACGCAACACCGGGGATGTCCACTGAGAAATAACCAACCGAAGTGATCGCAACGTCACACGGGAGCCTGACGGTCGTCGCATTCTTCGCGTTTTCCCCAGCATCCACGTCCGTGCGCTCAAACTCGACGGCTCCTACGTAATTGCGGCGCTCAGGATGCGGCAAAAAGCGCAAAGGCTTCAGATGGTAGCGCATATGAACAACGCACGGACCGCGTGCGTGTTTTGGCTGCTGCTTCAGCGCTGGTGGTGCATCGGGCAGATTGCCCCCCGCAGCAATGCCGTCACCACTCGTGTAAACAAACCGGGAGACAAGTTCAAGAAGACGTTTCCTCGCGCGGGGGTTTGCTGAAGGCACACGCAGGGCTTCTTGCAAGTCAAACGGGTCAACAACAACCCGCACGGTGTCCGAGTGAAATCTTGTCAGCTCTCGAAACTCTGCAATGGTGAAGGCGCTGTGTACGTGACCACGGCGGGCCACAACGTTGATGCGGCGAATACGGTTCTTCATGAACTCTCGGATCGCCACGCAGTTCATATCGGTCTCACAGAAATATTTGTACGACGCCGCCATGACACGTGCACAGTCCATCGCTACATTGCCATTGCCGATGATGACCGCCTCGCGCGCGGTCTCAAGGTCAAACGGGCAAAACCGTGGCGAGCCGTACGGGAAAGGGTATGTGTTGTAGTACCGCACAAAGTCCCCGGCACTGATGACACCGCCGAGCTCCTCGCCGGGGATGTGAAGCTTGCGGTTGGCCTCCGCGCCCGTCGCAACCACCACGGCCGTGTAGTGCTCAAGAAGCGTCTCCACGGGAATGTCCTTGCCAATAGTGACGTTGCCGATCCACGTCACCCGGCCACTTTTGAACATGTCAAGAAACTGCCGCTCGACGTTTTTCACCTCCGGGTGGTCCGGGGCCACGCCGTAGCGGCACAAACCGAACGGGACGGGCATTCGCTCAAAAACATCCACGTGAATGTCGTCACGCCTCTTCGTCAGGAGACGCGCGACATAACACCCGCTGGGGCCGCTGCCAACGACGGCGATTTGTACGCGTGGCGCCGACGTCGGTGGCGGCTGCTGTTGCCCTACCCGCCACACCGCAGTGCCCGCGAAATATAATCGCCGTGTCGCATGAAAAAACATTGCTGCCAAAACCACTAATAAAAAAAGCTACAACTCTTGTACACGCTCATGCAGGCGTCTAATTTTTTTATTTATTTATTTGTGTGTGACTGCCTGTGCGTCACCGATACAAAGTGACCCGGTGATCGCTTGTGCCACCTGCGGGAAAGACGTGATTGCATGGAAGGCGGTGAAGGGCAAAGGAGGCGATGACAGCCATGCAAAGCGCATGTGCCCACGGCGGCAATCGGCGGCCGCACTCGTGGCAGGCATCGCAGTAGAAGAAGTGTGCGAGGTTTTTTATGTGGCAGCAAAGGAGTAATGCCGGGGGACGCAGCAGAAGACAAAAAAAAACAAAAACAAAAACAAAACAAAAACAACAAAAAAGGGCGGGCGAAAACAGCTGGAAAACTCCGCCCCGCCTTGCAGCCTCAGAAAATAGAAAAAAAAAAAAAGAAAAGGCGCCCCCGACTTTACGCTCTTATCAGCCATCGGAACAAAAAAAACAAAACAAAGTAAAGAGCCGCACAAAAACAAAAACAACAAAAAGAACAAATCACTCAGCAGCCCAAAAAAACAATAAAAAACAAACAAACCCCATACTGAAAATAATGAAAAAACAAAAACAAATAAAACAATGCACCAAGAGGCAGAAGCAGTGAAGTCGCATCCCTCTCCACACGGGGTTTTTCTCGCATGCACATTCCCCCCTTAACTTCCTCCAATTAACCCGGAAGAAAGAGCAGAGGGCCCGCATGCGGAAGCTGTGATGTGCCCAATTGAGGTATGGGTGGGTGGGGAGTGAAGACATCGACAACAACACTATACAAGAAGGAAGTAATGATAGATAAGAGGGCATGTACGCGTGGAAAATAGAAATAAAAATAAATAAATAAATAAAATCTGAAGATTGCTTTTAAAAAAACCACAAACGTTCATTCAGAGGTGCAGGGATCATGTCGCAGGTGAGTGGTGGGGCCGCGTCCAACAGCCTTTCCGCCACACTTGACAAGCGATGGGCACATCGAGTGGCCATCGGCAGCTTCGTTGCCTGCGTCGACAACACATGTGAGAGAACATGTGAGAGCTGTTGCACATCTGATACTTCCAGCGTGGGGCTTGTGCTGTGAACTGTGTACTGCACAGTGCGGGCTGTTGACATGTTGCAGTCATGGTTCTGCAAGTAGAAGGATGGAACAACGGAGTCATCCTGCAACGAAATGGGGGTAAGGGCCTGCACGACGGCTCCCTTAACGACATTGGCAGCCGTCGCTTTGGGAAACTGGTTCCCTCCCAGAACTCGATGCACAAAACGCACATTTGTTCGCTTGTGAAGGCACATAAATGTGAAGCCACAGCCGGCTGGCAGGTGTGGTTGCATCTGGCGTGCCTCACTGCTCACGTCACCATCCTGAAGGACGACCACCTCATCCAATCCGTCGTACAACTCGCACGCTCGCTGGAGGACGAGACGAAAATGTTCAGTGACCCGATCCGCCTCCTGCCCTCGCATCTCATGTTTCCAGAAGAACGGCAGAAGGTGGTTGCGCTCGGGTGCGCACAAGATACCAACAACACTCCCTGTACTGAACGTCGTGGTGTGACAGGCGTCCACGCCCACAACGAGCACCCGGCGCTGTGCCAACGCCGGAACTTCCCGTGGAAGATTTACCCCATGAGCGGGGTCCGTCTCAAATTTCGTCCGAAGTTGGATCCGCACATTTTCACACAAAAGATTTTGCCGCTTCGGTGTTGTGGCGGGCGGTATAAACATTCCAAGAATGCCACGTGTGAGACATTCTGCAAGGATCCAGCGTGAGGCGCGTGTCTCCCGCTCTGCTGAGATGATGACAGCAGCTGTATTCGGATCTTTGAGCGTTCCATCCGATGCGTTGGTGAGTTGTTGCAGTAAAAATCGCACTGCCTCCTTCTCGTCCGGCACAGTCATGGTGATGGGGCTGCGGTAGGAGCGTGCGACCGCCTGTCCAGTTTGCGTGATGCGTGCGCGTACCTCCTCCTCGGCATGCGGCGACGCAATGGCAACGACCGCGAGCGTCGTGGGGAAAGAGGGTGGCGGGGGGTGACGCAGCGAGCCCAAACGATTCTGTTTGTGATTCAAAGATGCACTCTGCCCCACCCCATACGAGGTCAGTTTCTGCGGGGCGGGGAGTAGTGAAAGTTCCTTTGATGCAAATGGTTCGGATGCCAATATGAGACCCCATCGTCGCATTTCTTTCTCCAATACCGCGTGGAATACTCGCAGGACATCCAGTCGTCGTGTTGGCAAGAAGGAACACGTAGAAACACTGATGTCTTGCCAAGACTTCATGCGGGGGTCGTAGCAGCAGTGAAGTGCCTGCAAGGGAACCACGCTGTGGTCTTTCAGCACGGCGCAGGGCTGGCCGGGCTCAAGGTCGGGTAGGAGGCGCTGCAGCACAGGATCAAGGTCCACCTTCTCGGGATCAATATTAAACCGAACAAAACGAATCATGGAGTGTCGCAGGTTAGCAGATATAATCACAGGCGTTCCCTGCACGGAGCGTGCGATGCGTTCTTCTGTGGCTTCGTCGTATGGACCGCTGCCAAAGTGTTGCTTCACCTCCTCCCAGAGGGAGAGCTCCGCTGCGACGGTGCCCTTTGTATCAATCTTCAGCGCAAGGGCACCTGGCATCACGGAAGATGAGCCTTCTTCCGTGACTCCGGGTGTGACTTTGTTGTTGATGGCGTCCGTCGCCTCTTCCTTTCCTGTCGGGGGTACAACGCCCTTCTTTTTTCCTCGTCTTTTTGTTGGCTCAACTCCACCGGATGTACTTTTCACCTCTGCACTCTTCTTTTGTGTCTGCTTCTCCTCAACGGGCTTCAGTGCCGTCTCCCCCACCGTCATCTCCACAAGCCGCATGCTGCCACGGTTCTCAAACACGCGAACACGGTAGTCCGTAGCTTCATAGACGTTTCCAGGTGAGAGTTTCGCCGATTTTGTTGCCTTCCACAAGGAGGCCATGATAACACCCGAGGCATCCTCTATTCGATAACTTTGCACGGGCGTTTCCTTAAACTCAAACTCACGCAGGAATTCCTTCACAAGAAACCGCAGCGGCTCCGTGGGATGATGACCCGCCTTTAATGTCGTCAGTACGGCGGTGGATGGTGGGGCTGGAAGGGCAGAGGCAGCACAATTTTTAGTGTCAATGGCCCCATTGGAGTCTATAAAGACGGCTCGAACAATGGTTCCCTTAAAAATACGCATCCCTCCCACAATAAAGCTGTCGTGTGTGCACACAAGCTTTCCGTTTGCTTCTCTTGCCACAGTGAACGCCTTCTTCCCATTCTCCTGCTGCCCCAACGTCCACATGGCAATTTTGTTAGTCACTTCTTGGATGTCGGAAGGTGCCATCTGCGTCATGGAGACCTTTCCCTGAAACCGCAGCTTGCATGCCACCCAGCCCAAGTCGAGGTACTCGGCCGGTAGCTGCAGCGCATTCGTGGGGAGGGGCGAGAGAGAGTACACCTTCTGTCGAACATTCACAAACGGTGGTGCGTTCGGGACGCACCGCTGCAGGAACCGTCGTACAACACGCCAGGCTCGCGTGGCATCAACCCGCTTGGTGATTGGGTCGCGGGAAGTGGCGGTGGTCGCTGTTTGACCCGCCCCTTTTTTACAACGGCCTTTTGCCCTTCCAGCGCTTTTCACCCGCTTCTCCCCCTCCTCCTCCTGCGCAGCATCTGACGGCTGCGGCTGGAGAAGACGGCTGGTGGCCTCAACCTCGTAGACGTAGAGAGTCGTGTCGGGGCTTACGTGCACGGGGAAGAGGTTCGACGACACACCCTCTTCCCGCAGACGCTCGCGGACAAAACTGCGCGTCTTTTTATCAAGAAAGCGATCATTCGCGTAGTTGCGCTTGACATCTTGCAGCGCCACCTCCTCGGCAGCGGAGCACCAGAGAGACTTGCTCTGCTTTTGGTTGGGGTTGCCGCCACCATTCGCCCACGCAACACGGCCGCCACTATTCGCCGTGTTGAAGGACTGCTGGTGCTGCTGGTGCTGCTGCTGCTGCTGCTGCTGCTGTGACCGACTTTGTCTCTGGCGCTCACTCCGTGCGGCAATTGTCTGTATTGCCACAGGCGCAAGGCCCAAAACTGTTTTTCGCATCATCGCCGGGGTGTAAATAGGAAGGAAATTCCAATCTGACAGGCATGTTCGTTTAAAGATCATGAGGGAAAACAAAAACATAAAACAAATACAAAAAAGCCAAAGCCATTTATTTATGTTGCAGAGAGAAAGAAAGAAAAGAAAGAGAAAAAGAGAGAGAGAAGCAAAGAGTAAGAAAGAAGGAGACCCATTTTAAACCCGCTGGGGATCAAAGCCAATACCAAACAGAGGAATAAAGCCAAGAAACAAAAAACAAAAGCATGTGTAGGGGAAAAGGATGGTGAGCCCACGCCTCACTTCCAATTTGCGTTCTGCCTTATCTATTGCCACTAGAACATAAGCCCAGACGCCCCTTTACACCAAAAGACTTAGCATCCATCCCTCGTCATATGAAAAACAACGTTTCCCTTGGCTTCTTCCCTCCTTGTGCCTGAATGCGCAAGGGACTCATGCACATTCCTGCGTCTTCTTTCTCTTCTTATCGTTCGCCCTTTTTAAGTTTTTTCGTTCGTTTTTTTTTTTTTTTTTTATAATTGTTTTATGCAAGTATGCAAAGCTCACGCAACACGCTCGTACAGGAGGATGTACGCCGTTGCAGTGACCACCCCACTCACAGGGATCGGTACCCCCCAGAACTTTTGCACCTCATATTCCGTCAGCTCCGTCACAGTGGCGTCATTGAAGAGGCACCAACGTCCCCCGTGCCGCACGCATGTGAAATAGTGGCCAACATCAGGGCCCTCCCCCAAATGCGTTACAAAACCACTCAGCGCAAAGCGTCCCTTGCGGTGCACCACGCCATCCAACTTGTTCATCAGGTGTACTGAGGGACGTGGGGCGCTGGCTTCATCCTCGCCCTCCGCCACTGTGCGTGCCTCAACCGCCACTGACGGAGAACCTGGAGGACACGGGGCATGTGAGTCGCACTCCGAGACGCCAGTCTTGCTGGCGCCATTGCTGTCATCCCAGGGCTCGTACTCCACCACATCAATTTCATTTGGGACGGCGACGTGGTCACTTCGCTTCGTTAGCTTGCCCGTCTTCTCGTTGTATTCAAACCGCTTCAAGTGCACCAACAGTGCATACTCCGGCAGTCGATGCACGCGAAGCAATTTCTGTGCAACCACATGCTTTTTGCAATGTTCACAATGCAACTTGTTCGCCCCATAAAACAACTCTGGTGAGCCAAAGTTCGACACGCAGCGCAGCAGCGAGGATCCCTGCTCAATGTCAAGACTGAGGTCCAAAAAGACCTCCCGAGTCGTTTTCGTCCGCTCACACTCAAAACACGCCGTCAGCGAAGCAAACTGACCACCAAATATCACTTGAATGGGTGACACAGCACTCCAATCGGCTTCTGCAGCCGTTGTTGTTCTTGTTGCGGCAGCAGCAGCAGCTGTAAAGGTTGCCGCCATACGCGCATCCGATGCATCACCACTTCCGCTTGGTGCGTTCGCTGGTCGTGGTACGTCATTTCCATCACGGAGAGCGGGCGGTAGCTCCACATCCTCCTCCTGCACTTCCCCTACACCCGTCGCTTGCCAGGAACCATCCCGTTTTCGACCCCGACGTAACACATTCCACCACTTTGGTCCCTTGCCCTTTTTTGCACCAAAGAAAAGTGCACGATTTTTCTCATCCCCCATCATGCGCTTCTCCGTTTCTATCATCTTCGACAACAAAAACATCGTAAACTCATGGGCATCTTGCTGAAGAGTATTATTAAAAGCTGCATTTTGTTCTTTTATACTGGAAATAAGTGCTTTTGGTGCAATGGCATCCTTTCGATACCTCTTTTGATTATTTGCCTTGTGCATCTTTGCAAACAAATCCACTACAAGCGCAAGTAGTGTGTCTTCCTCAAAGCCAGTGTGTCCCGCGCCTTTGGCGTATATCTGATACAACTCCAGCAGCCGCAGCCGTAGCGGGGAACAGTGGTAGAGGAGCTGAATAACGGCGTTGCAGTAGCATGTGTTACCGTAGTTCTCTAACCCAGCTGGGTATCCGTTAATTTCCAAGAAGCGCGTATGAATGGGTGGGGATGACAGGCCTGGGGAAAGGGGACTGGACAGGGTACTCTCCTGCTGGGAAAAGGAGTGCAGTCGGTACGAGCGCAACATCGGGGTGGAGGGCAGGGCGACCGACAACTCGCTGCTGTACGTTGGAATCGGCGATGTCGGGCAAAATAAATTTTTAGGTGACAGTGGTGGACGCAAGTTATCGGTCGGGTTGCATGAACACTCCGGCGACGTGAATAAAGCCTCCGCGGCACCTTTACCGCTGGTCCCATTGATGCCATTCTTACGTGCATCGCCGCCCCCAGCCTCACCAACACTACTGCTACTGCCGTTATGATTGCTGGTGGTGTCAATCTTCAGTGGAAGAGGCCGTATTTTTGGAACGGAGACGCTTAATTCCGCCTCTGACGTTAATGAAATGCCACGCGCATGGAGTGAGTGAATCGGCTCATTCTGCGGGGATAACTCCCTTTTCAGTTTGCCTCCCTTTGAACTATTCACTCCCATTGCGTCAGCAACTCCTCCCCCTTTTTTCCCCCCCTCCCTTCACAAGTGCCTCTAATACTGCCACTGCCAAACTGGTGCTGTTAACACTACGGTGGGTACAATTTTGCGCGTTTGCGTGTCGCCCTATCTATTCCGCGCTTTACGTCACCCAGACACGATTCCCCGGCCCCAAAGCCAAATACAAAAGGGAAAAAGAGAGAGAGAGAGAAAAAAAAAACAAGGAAAAGAAAAAGACACATCTGCACGCAAACACGCCTACACTCTGCGCGGAGTCTCACGTCATCCAAAAGGCATTGTTTTATGACATTTATTGTTTTACTTCTCTTCTCACTTATTCCCCTCTGTATTCTAAGCCCGTGATACGTGGACCTTTCTGCTGGCCGGCAAAAAGGCACCCCGCTTTTAGCCGCGCATGACATTCTTCAACAGCTCCATGAACGTATTGTCGTGTGCATCAACGGGCAACACGGTGGACTCCGTGACGCCTTTGAGCTCCACGCACACCCCACCCTCCTCATCTTTTAACAACTGCACAATGCCGTACTCAAACGCGTCGTGAAGGTCATGTGGACTCACAGAGATGCTCTTCACAGCCACATTGATGGGCTTCACGGCGCGGCCAAAGAAACCATCGCTAAGATAACGCTCATGCTTGAGAATCTCGCCGTAGATGATGACTTGCATGGCGTAGCGATAAAATTTGGTGTTGGGGAGATGCATAAGGCAGCCGGTGCAGGGTTCCTCAAAGGAGCCAAAGCGAAAGGCACTTGCCACGCTGCCGCTTGTCTTCCAGTCCCCAATGAGAAGTTTATGCGTGCGCTTGTTGCGCGCAATGAAGTCCACGGTGCCGCCGATGCCCCATGACGGACTCGCTATCACCTGCTCGACGGCGATGATGTCGTAGTGGCGCAAAATGTTCTCGATTACGCGGTCCGCGGCATTCATGTAGGCGGCCTCGTCGCCATGCAGGACGGAGTCCACAATCGACTGCTTGGATGACGTTGGCGGGGACGTCACATCCGTCTTCTTTTTTCCAGAATTCCGTTTCTTCTGTTCCTCCTCTCCTTTTTGTTTCTGCTGGCTCTTCAGCACCACCGTCCACGTGGGCGGTGGTAGGCCGCAAAGTTTATTCTCAATGTACTCGTGAATGTTTTTGCCAAGCAGCGCTTGTCGGTTCCAACCCGCCTTCACCTCCTCCACGGGCTGCCCTGTCTTCTTCGACACCAGTGCCAACACCCGCTTCTCGTCAAAAGGGAAATATTTGTCAAGCACCTTCGAGACCGAGCGAAGGGCTGTGTGGCCGAGTTTGTACTGATGCCATTTGGCGTCAAAGAGAATTTCCACCCCGGATGGATGCGGGGTACGCTTCATTTACACCGCTATTGCAGTCTATTTCGTCTATTTTTATGTACGTGTGTGAATCCCTCTCTCCCTCTCCCTCTCCCTCTCCCTTTCTCTTTCTTCCCCTGCAGGTGTGTGTATGCCTTTGCCTGCCTACGCACCACCGCATGTATACACACGCACACAAAGAGGAAGGCAAAAGAGAAAACAAGCAAGAACATACTTATATACATACAGACAGACAGACAGACACACATATGGGCCGTGAAAACACAAAATTTGAAATTTCAGTGGGAAAAATAAACAACAGCAAAAACAAAAAAAATAAAGCCAACAAACACACAACAAAAAAAAAAAAGAAAATTACGTCTGGACATAACACACATCTTCCCTGTCTCCGCCCCTCCCAGGCAGAGAATTCCTTTTTTTTTTCTTTTTTGTTCTTCTTCCCCCCTTTCCTATTGTCTTTTTTTAGTTGTTGTTGTTGGTGGTGGTGGTGGCGGTGGTGGTGGTGGTGTGTCCCCCGACCTTCAATACATACATTGGTAAATAAAACGGGACAAGGCACGCACAGAACGAAAGGGAAATAAAAAAGCAAACGGCACCTAGAAAGTGAAAACAAACAAACAATGGATGCACACACGGAGGCCCATGCAAAAAAAAAAGAAAAAAAAAAAAAAGATGTTCTTTCGCATCTCCCTCCTCGTTTTGTACATTCAAATGTGTTTGTGTAAGTATCATATTTTCACCCCCGCCCTTTTTCCTCTTGTTTGCTCACATCCTCCCCTCTCTATTATTCTTTATGCACGCATACACACGTGTCACTGTGCAAGAATACCTTGCCGCACGATTGATGAATTGCTACATAACGTCTCATTTCCCCAGCTATATATATATATATATACAGTCCCTTGTTTTTGTTCCATACATTTCATTGATTTACCCCTCTCCTCTCAATGCATCTTCGTTTGTCATGTAAATAAATTGAGGAATGCAAGAGAGAGAAAGAGAAAAAGAGGGATAAACAAAAAATAAAAGGACATCTGAAAATGGTATTTGCCGGGTAATGAAGAGCGTATTACTCTTCCTTTTTATCTATTGACCATCCCCCACTTTTCCCCTAATCACTCAACACACAAAGAGGGTACTCATGTGCACATGACAGGGAGGGGAGTTTGTCTCTACACCGCCTCAACCGACTGTTGTTGCGGTTGTTGCTGCGCACTCGCCGGCGCTTCTTGCGGCTGCGACTGTGACTGCTGTTGTGGTGCCTGTTGCTGTTGCTGCTGCGCCTGCTGTTGTTGTTGTTGTTGCTGTTGCTGCTGCTGCTGCTGCTGTTGCTGGGAGATGGGAAGGAATAGTTTGAACTCCGGCGGCAGCTCTTCCTCCGAGTAGAGGCGGTCACTGAAGTACAGGCGGCGTACACGGCAGTTCGCATGCAGCTGCACACGCAGAGTTTCCAGGTAGTTTGTTCCATACGCACGTCGTGTGAAGTCCGCTAAGTTGAACTGAATTTGGTTCCACCCCTCGTCAAGGCGCATCGGCATCGTGCAGGTGAACGGCTTCACCCGCGTGGTGCTCTGGTAGTTGGAGGCGCGAAAGCGGCGGCGGATGCCCTTGTCGTCGAGTATGGTCACCTCAAAGGAGAAGTACCGCTTAAGATTCTTGATGATCATGACGAGAAAGGGTAGCTTTATCCCCAGCGTCTTCTTTGGATCGGCCGGGCATGTGATGTAGCATGTGCTCACGTTGCTGCCGACCACCTCCAGCACGGAGGACTGAATGTCCTCGTCGGTGATGCGCTTCACATGGCCATTGCGCACCTTCGTGTCCCAAATCTGCAACGGCCGCGAGCCAATGCTGTACAGGATGGAGAGAAAGCCGGACTGGTAGCTGTTGTGGAACATGACGCCTTCGCCCTGCACTTGTGCTTCTTCTTCCTCTTCCCTTTTTTTGCTGTTTCTCTTTGTTGCCACGGCGCGGTGTCGTGACGCCCTCACACTGCACAGAGAGAGAGAGAGAGAGAGAGAGAGAGAGAGAGAGAGAGAAAAGAAAAGAGCGGCAGCCTTAATGCGAGATGTGTTGGCGACAGGCCGTCCATTTCGGCCTCAAATTTATTTCTCAAGCACACACACACACACACACACATACACACAGAGCGGCTGCAGGTGCTGGGACAATTCTTTATTGTTTTTTTATTCCAGCACGAGGGCCCTCACACATGCCGCGAGATCCTCCGCGGTGACTCCCAACGCCTCCATCAACTCGTCAAGAGCGTTGCTGCCGTCTTCGTCCTGCCGCAGCCACTCCGCCCACACCGTCGGCTCGCAAAGGCCTGTTGCGGCCAACAGCACAAGCGCAAGAAATAACACGTGCGGTGCCACACCACCGGCAACAAAAGCCCCCGGCAACGCGAAGGGAAACTGCAGACTGGTAAGCAGAGCGCTGGACTGCCATACGCCCCACGCCTGCCTCAACGTCCCCTCATCATACAAGAGAAGGCGCGAGAGTGCCGCGGTTGTATCGGCAGAAAAGACATGTGCGGCGAAGAGAGCAAGACGCTGCTGCTGAAGTTGTGGATCTACACAAGGTGGGTCCTCGCCTCCCAATTCTTCTCCGCCCAACGACAATAACTCCTGTTCCGCCCGCTGCACGCACGCCATGCGGATAGGCAGCACACATTTCACATACACACTGCGATTTCTTCCTGCCAAACCCTCACTGTCCTTCCACACATGATTATGCAGACTGCTCTTGTGACATAACACGGCGAAGATGGCCTTTGTCCTTGCGGTTGATATCGTCATGCACCAGTCATACACCATCAGAGGCAAAGGCATGTGTCGCCTTTGTCCTACTTGACTCTCTGTGACCTGCGCACACCTCATATCTCGACTCCATTTGTTTCCCTCAGCCTGAATGCAACTCAACGCCTCCTGCACCGCTGTGTTATGGAGTGGAATGCTACTTGGAAGATATGACGGCGGCTGCTGCCTTTCCCCTCCCTCCTGTTGAATGTTCCTTTCAGAAATGTTTCCCAAAGATGTTGACTCCGCCCCCGCAAGACGGTGAAGCGCCGCAAGGCTCATGTTAGGGAATAGCCCCCCCACAGCGTGTATCACATCACTTCGTTCGTATACAAGCGATGAGGGCACTTTTGTCATCAGTGCCAGAAATTCCTCCGCACATGCAGGCGAACAGAAGCGATCTGCCATCGTCGCTCCCAGTTCAATAGACGGCTCACCCACTGCATTTTGCGTGCGCTGCTCGCGGTACCTTTCATACTGACGAAACGCATCTGCCGCATCTTTTTCCCACTCTTCTTCTTCTTCGTCCTCTTCCTCCTCCCTGTTGTTCTCTTCATTGGCGTTGTTGTTGTTACCGCCACCGCCCGCGGAGCTGCTGACACGCTCGTTACTAATTTCGCCCTGCCGCCGTCTTGCCGTCCTGCAGCAGCCCGAGCAGCCAATCATGCCGCAGTGGTTGCCGTAGTTGCGCTCTACGAGAACATCACGCAGAGTGCTCTTGTCGATGAGTGTTAACATCCACTGCGCAGTGCGGGAGTCCGGCAGGAATGGATCGGTTGTCACTGCCAAGTACTTCGACAACTCCAGCACGGCCTTGTCTACCACCACCTCCCATGCACCCCCCGATGACGTCATCGCTCCTATATATATATATATATTTTTCTATATATCTCTTTCTCTGTGTGTTTCTTTTGATGTACGCATTCAAACTACAGGGGAGAAAGAGGCTCATAAAGACGTAATGCGGATACTTCACGTACATGGAGTGGTGGCGGTGGTGGTGGATGAAACGGGGCCGTCAGTTCCCTCCCGCAACATCGTCGTTGGAGAAAAAACAACAAACAGAAACGAGAAGTCTCCAGACAAGACATTTAAAATGCCGCCCGGTGTTGTCTGCCGTCGTCATTCCCGGAATGTTAATGAAGGCGAGGGGAGAGAAAAATGGAAATAGACACACGGCATTAAAGGAAAAACACAACAACAACAACAAACACAAAAATAAATAAAATTCGTCTGACTTTTAAAAGACCTCACCACCACCACCACCCCTATGCACCACATCTGCCATACTTAAGTTCATCAAACTACCGCACATTCATCCCTTTCCTCCCTTCCTCCCTAAAGGTACGGCATGCACAACTCAAATAGAAAGACAAGAAGAGATAAATGCGTTCTTGCATAAACCGGTTGCAGGGTGAGAAAAGGGCAAAAAGTAAAAATATTACCGGGCAACATCGGCACATGGACACTGGTCGTATTGTTGCCCATGCTCCTGCTGCAGTTCTTCTATTGTGTCATCTTCCCGCATGCGTAGTCGTCGTCTCGCCACCACGCGTTGAACCAGGCGTTGCTGGCCCACTGTTTTTGGCCCACACACACTGTTCATTGTTTCCCGTGACCGCTTCCGTCTAATGTTCTCCGTCATTGGCACCATCCCGGCACTGTATTGATGCAGGAATTGCAGCAGCAAGTAAATAGGGATGGAGTCTACAGACGACACTGCAGACAAGCGACCCGCGGATATTGTCGATGATGCCGCGGTGGCTGCAAAGTGTTGCTGGAGTTGATTTCGTTGATATTCCACGCAAAATTGGCGAACGTCTTCAGCCGTCGCTGCTCGCATCATCGACCGTTCGTGGAGGAGATCGTTACAGCGGCGCTGCAACCGCTCAATCTCATCTCGCTGCTGTTGTATAAGGCTGCGGTGCTCCTCCACCGCCTCACAGGCCTTCATGTGCCAATATTCCTCCACGTTCATTGCCGCTCTCCGCTCCTTTTATTATTTTTCTTCTTTTTACTCCTCCTTTTCTTCCTCTCCTTCCAGGTCTTAGCCAATTGCGTGTATATATATTTATTTGTGTGTGTGTGTGTGTGTCTGCCTTACTTTCCTCCTGGCGGTGAGGATGACAACAAAAATATGGTGAGTGAGAAAGAGAGACCTTCCCCCCCCAAGCAAACAAGAAAGCAAATAAAATAAAATAAAAATAAAATAAATAAAAATGCAGCTTTCCACAGGAAAGACAAATCACTCAGAAGTGTCATCGTATTTTATACACATGCCTGTTGGGAGAATATCGTTGTGACTCAATGGAAAGGGAAACAAAGTAAACATAGCAACACACATACATACACATACAGGTATACATGTGTATGCACCGTCATGGGCCCAACGGGACACCAAGGCGCATTACATCCTCAGAAACCTTCCAAACCCCGCAGTCGTTCCTCCAGCAGTCTCACCTCTGCCGTCAGTCGTTGCCAGAGCTGCAGGTCAAAATTGTTCTGGCGGTACAACCTGGAAATATAATACGCGGCGATCATCTCCATACAGGCCTCGTACGTGAAATCCCTCTGCGTTGTCGCATAGCAGGCAATGGCAACCCAAACCCCGCCATAACCAAGCAGGTACGTCATGGGCTCCACGAGATTCCAGTCAAAAAGGAAGTACACCCAATAGAAGAGTGTCACTGCCTGTGCTGTCAGCAAGACAAATAGCCCTGCGGCGTAGTAATTGGCGTACCGAAGTGCCACCGCCTCACAGCGTGTTTTGATTTCTGTCATTTGCTGCAAAGCATGGCGCTTCTGTATCAACAGCGGCCGTAAATGTGACTCACGGTAGTTGCAGAGTCCTTCTAAAGTGAAAAGCGAGTCTCCCGGCACCGTCGACACGGCGTTAATGCGTGTTTCCATGTCCTCCAAACCGCCGCCACACCCCACACGCCTATTCTTGCCGACGGAACGGCTACTGCATTCCCGCCGTACAAACTCCATTGCGGCAACGCCACGGAGATAGCGCCGAGGGCACACAAAACGGCATTGACAGCGAACACGCACCTCAAGAAAGGATGCAAACATTAAAAAGATTTGGGCTTCGGCACAACAGGGATCCCCTGCACTCTTTCTTTAGGTCCCGTCCCTCTGCCGTCTGCGCTGTAGCGTCTCGGCGAAGGGAAACGTGAACTTCCTTCCTTGAGGCAATCACAATACCAACCGCAAAGCGCAAGAAGGGAAAAAAGAGGGCAGAGAAAGAGAAAAAAAAACAACAAAACAGGTGCACCTCACCGCTACTTCAGTCTCCAACACCTGCCGTTGCCGTTGCTGCCATAACACCCCAAATTAATTTCCTTTTTTGACCCTTCCTTCCTTCCTTCCTTCCAAACACACACACACACACACGGACAGAAACGCACGCATACACACGTACATTCTCTTTCTCTACTCTCATCCGTTTTTTTTCAATAATACACGAAAGTTGTTTATGTCGCGCCTTCTCCACTGCAGGAGCTTCTTTCCTTAAACAATGCGACTCATTTCGAGCAATTCCAATTCCCTCCTGCTCATATGCGATGGTTTCTTCTTCCCCTCGCCTCCCTCTTTTCATTTCCCAGCTACTCGGTCATATTCTTCACCCCTTTTCCTTTTCTTCATCCCTCAAAGAATATAAACATATGAGTGTATGTATGCATGTATTCAGATTTTCCATCCTGTTCAGATATATATATATATATCTTGTCGCACATCGTAAAGAAAGAAAAGACTGCCAAGGGTGCACCACACCGCAAGGATTACAGAATCTTCCATTGTCTACTACTTCCTCATCATTTCCTCCTATCAACCAATCCCTTCGTATCCCTGAAAGTATCACCCAATTCGCACAATATATTCCACAAGAAACAACAACAAACATAATCATCATCATCAACATCATCATCAGCCTCCCGCTACTTCATAGAGAAGTGTGCAGTACAAAAAGACAAATTTTACTTCTATTTTTTGAGACTTGGCACCTTCGGGAATGTGAAGGTGGAACCAGTGACAAAGACAGCGGGCGGCACAGCGCTTAGGGTCCTTAAAGCCGCGTCCACTTCACCGGCTGAAACCGCTCCAATGGCTTCCATCAGCTGTTGCGGTGTGACGCTTAAAGTGGCAATAAAGTCGCAGTAATCACGCACCATATCCAGGTGATTTCTTGTAAAGGCCATGGCGGCACGAGCACGTCCGGCGGCAACTTCGTCGTCCTTCACTTTAATTGGAAAACATCCTCTTGCAGCATCTAGAAAACCTGCAATTTCCTTTGGTGCCCCACGGATCGTGATGCCGATAAGGCCGGCGGATGAATATGGACGGTAGAATGACTGCACACCATGGGATGTGGTGAGGGCTGCCGGCATGACACTCTCAATGGAAGCCTGATACACCTCTCGTGCCACAAGCGCCGTTGCATACTTCTTTACATCTTCATCGCGTCCAAACGTTGGAGCACCCAAGGCGGCAATAACCTCCTCTTTCATGTCCGGTACCGTGCCCATGTTCTTGGCACGGTCCTCATATACGATATATTGACGGCCAGGATAGAATTGCGCGGACTCACTCGCGTGCGAAAGGGTTGGTGGACGGGACCTTGCGTGATGCGGGGCTTCAGCGGAATGTGGATACGGCAATGATGTGTACGCCGCCAATAGCGCGTCATGCGGAATGTTTACGGCCGCTACAGTGATGTTACCAGGCTGGAAGTATGCTGCCCAGTGGTCCAAGAGTACCTTCTGGTTGCAGCGGTCATTTGATTCCGGTGGCACCATGCGAGGGGATGCGAGTGGCTCCTTAAAGAACGCCACCGTTTCGAGGGCGTCCACACAGTATTCACGTGGGTTTTGCCAACGCAGCTCCTCACGTTGGTTGTCCATCGTGTCTCGGAAGCGCTCCAAATCACTCTCATGGAAGCGAGGCGCCACTACCCCTGTGGCGATCATTGCAAAGGGTTTTTCCCACATGTCACGTCGTCCCTCCGTCTTCCAATGTATATATCGCTTGCAGATCTCGCCATGGCCGTAGGCATTGCCTGTTGACCGCATCGTACGGTCCACTTGGAACAGAGAACTATCCATGTTGGACGTCTGAATGGCGTAACGCATCACGTGGCTCAGTCCAGGGCAGCCCAGCGGGTCGTACTTTGGACCCGCCTCCACGTAGACACCCACGACGCTATGAGCGCCGTCCAAATCATGTGATACCACACGAACACCGTTCGGAAGTTTTGTGGACATAAATTTCCCTGCCTGCGCCACCTGACGTTCGCGCGGCACGGGGCCGAATGCCCTCGTCAGTGACGGCTGACCAAATTTGTACTGAGAGATCGCACGTTGCTGTGTACGACGGAGCATCTTGTCACAAAAGTTTTTCCTGTATTTGATTCCCACCATCACCCACCGCAAATCACCGTCGCACCATTTGATATTGCGCGATGTGTGGGTAAGAGAAAACAAAACAACAAAAACAGCAAAAGATAAGAAAGTTTGTGTGCACGTAAGTCCGCAGTATCCGTGGAGCACAGTAAAAGAGGGCAAACAAATGAGGACCCGCACACACCCACAAACAAACAAAAATTCCTTCTTTCCCTTTCCTTTCAAAGAGAAAGGGACGGGTTTGTGAAAAGGGGGAAAAAAGAGAGGGGAGAAGCAACGCAGCCCTTTTCCCCCTCGTATAATCCGCACTTTGCCTCTCCGCACCCCGCGCACAATTACACCTCCCACCCACCAAGGAGAGAAAGTGAGAGGAGGGAAAAAGAAGAAAAGCAAACACGACGAGATCAGGGAGGCGGGGACGGCCCCCGCATGTTCTCAATAGCAGATTTCACTAGTTTATCCACAACCACAGACGTCAGTGGAGCTTTTTCTCTACAACGCTCATATGCACATGTGCAGCACTCATTAAGAAGCTGCGGTACACTTTTCATCATGCTGTCATCTTTGCATTCGCACAGCCACTCCCCCGATAATGGCGAAGCACACTTGTCACTCCCTGCGGTGGTCGCGCCGGGTGAGGCGGGCGGCACGAAAGGCGTCAGGGCATGAAGGAGAAATGTGCAGGTGATTTGAACGCATTGAAAGCCGGTACGTGTGAAGGTTTGTTTCCTCACGTATTCAATCATGCCCTTGAGAACATACACAGTCACAGCGGCCACAATGGAGGAAGGGCGAATTTCTCGTGGAAATGTCCGTAACTCCGCGTTTCTCTGAGATTCCTTCGAAAAGATGCGATCCACACTAAGTTGCAAGGCATTATCCGTTTGCCGCGCAAATGTCACCACCAACTTTCGTGAGGCAGCCATTCCACTGCTACGTCCACTGCCTGTGCTCATGTAAAGTCTCGAGCTACCAGTCGCACCGTCCACGCTACGCCGCTCTTTCACCGCTTCCCCCGCAGCGGCGTTAACGAAGAGAATACCCCTCCGCAGCAGAGTGTAGATGTTACCCAACTGCCCCACAAACTCATACAGGGAGCGCGAAACACCAAAATTCACCGCGGCAGTCGATGTGGGGTCAACCGCATCCGCCGGACAAGATGCCGCGGCAACCCACTGGAGGTGCAACTGGCCAAGAAGCACAATACCGCGATGCAAAAAAGCCCGCATGACACAACTGCACTGCCTCTGCAGCCCTGCCACATCCGTCTGCTTGAGAGTCTCGGTTTCTATGAGGGAGGTGAGTCCATCCAAGTCAGCGGCACTGGCAGCGTGAGCAAAAAGAAAGCGTGTCATGCAAAACTGGAGCGGTTTTTGGTAGGCCGGATCCTTGGCAGTGACGTTCGAACGGATGGTGTCGGGGACGTTTATTCCTTCCGTGAGTTTCGCCTCCAACGCCCCCAAAAAGCGTTGAAAGATTTCCAGCACGGACTGATCCACGAGTGCTGCGTATTGCCGACTTTGTTGACTGTGCGCATTGTCGAGGTAGTTGACACCTAATGTTTTCAGTGTCCCCGAGTAATACTTGAGGCGTTTCGCCAGGGTGGTAAACATCGCACTAAGCCCACTTTTAACGGTGGATGGATTCGCCAACGCCCCCTCACCGTCCGAGCAGAATGCGTCAATCACGGCGATGAGCATTTCACTGAATTGAGCCGTGATGGGCGACATGATATCGATAAGGACCGGCTGCACTTCTTCTACAATTCGTAACGAGACCGTGGCGTCACCCTCGCGATGAAACAAAGTGTATACACGCTCACTATTGGAGTGGAAGAGGGCGCAGAGACTCTTCAGCTGCGCCAATGCCTCCTGCAGACGGGCGTTTTCCATGACCTCTGCCCAACGCGTGCGATCCATTGAGGCAAAATCTGGAACAGCAAGAGCTGCTCGGATGGCACCGTTGACGCTTTGAATGCCGTCCGCAAAACCACCACTGACGTTCTTCATTAACGTATTCAAAATCTCCGTCTCAAAGGACGCGGGGCTGCTGCAGTCTGCGACTGCCGTCGTGGACGTCCCCTTAACCGCCCCATTCGCAAAGAGCGAGGTGGCCCGCATCAGACGCATGTCCTCCACGACACAACGGATGACATCCATCGCCTCCGGGTCGTCCAGTGAGGTGGTCACGACGGTCTCCTGCAGTTTTTTGTACAGCTGCTCCGCCAACACCATGCAGTCGGCACGAATTTTCGTGATTCTCGATAGATTCATGTGCTTCGCAAGGAAATTGTCGCCAACTATCCAATACCTCACACACGCACTGTACTCCTGGCGCTCAATAAGTCGACGCATCGTGTCTGCAAGCTCTACAAGAAACTGCACCTTTCGTAGCATGCGGTTGTTTAAAACCATTTCTTCAATTCGACTCCGATGTGACTGCAGCTTTTCCGTGATGCTCTTTGATACCTTATCGATATTTTCAACATTGCTGGAGAGTGCCTGCAACTTAGCGTCCATCTCCGTGATGTTATCTCGCATTTCACGAATTGTGTCCGTCGCGGAGATAAACTTGGCATAGTTCCGGTAAACCAGTTCCTGCAGTTCTCCATCGAGCTGGCGAACATTGCGGAGAAGCTGCGTGTCTGTCTCAACGAGTTCTTTCAGACTCTCACGGCGCAAGAGATCTGTGACGTACTTACTGACATTGAAAAACTCCGAGTCAAGGTCCATCTCCGGCGGGATTGCTGACTTGCCGCTGTCCACGGGATGCCGTTCGCGGCTTGCCGTGGGATCGCCATAGAACTCGCGCAGCTGTTCACGGATGCGCCGTCGCCGCTCTGTATTCCCTGCACTCATTGCTTACACGGAAAACTCCCCTCGCTGTATGCTTCTTGTTTATTAGCAATAATAAACACAAGCAAACTAAAAATAAATCAGCTTTATTGGCTCTTCTTCTAAAACCAAACAAACAAACAGAAAGGCAAAGAAGAAAACGTGAAATCAACAGCAACCGAGGCATGCGTGTTCCAAAAAAAAAAAAAAAAGGAATATGAACGCGCATGCAAGTGTCAGGATAGCCACAAATACAAGGGGACAATACAATCACAGGCCATAGCAAAATGAGGTAACACATTAAGGTTGATGTGTCGTCTGATTGCTGCGCGGCATCGGCAAAGCCTTGCCGTCAATTTTCACCACGGGCGGTGTTGCGGCTGCAACGAGAAGCCCACCCACACGCACAGATGGGGATCCACATTGAGGACTGGTGCTGTTGTTATTGCCGCCGCCCACGCGGGTGTGCGTACCGCCTGGCTGTTGTGTCCCGCCAACAACAATGCCCTGATGGCCCACGTAACCAAGCGTCATGGCGGGCATTGGTACAGACGCCCCCTTCCCCAAAGCAAGCTGCTGCTGCCGTATGCGTTCCTCCACGTGGGCCCGCACAACATCCTCGCGGAAAGCCTTTACCCACGCCGGATCACGTGCCTCGACCATCGCATAATACGCCTCCATCGCCTCCATATGCCGCACTCCCCGCAGGTGCTGCATCCAAGTTCGCTGCGCGCTGCTCACAAACAGATCACAGTAGTCACAATACAGCAGTCGCCCGTCCTTTTCGTTGTGTCGCCGGGAGTACTGCAGACGCCGCCGCCGGGTCTCTGGTGACTTTGCAGCGAGACGGCGACGACGCTGCCTGCGCCGCCTCTCCTCCTGCGAGAGTTCACTGCTCCCCTCCATCCCCGCCGCAGCACACGACGCAGATCTCGCTACACACACACACACACACGCGGACTGCACGTGGCCCGTGGCACAGCGCTAAACAATACAACCCAAAAGAAAAAAAAAACAAAAAAAAAAAAGTGTCTTCCTCGCCCAACACAACCCCGCTCCGGCCATTTTGACCGTGCAGTTCCCCCGTGTAATGGGGGTATTCCCTCACAGCACGCCCTCCTGCTCCTGTCAACAGCAGATGGCACACAGCGAGCACACACGCACACACACACAAACAAAAGAACTCCTCCAGCCATCCTGCGGCGGTCACATATACCTCTCGCACGCAATTTCCTTCGCCCGCTCCACCCAAAAACGTTAGAGAGTGCGGCACACCGTCGCGCAACGCTCGTTGAACGCAAACAAAAAACAACAACAACAACAAAAGCAAAAGAAAAACGCCGAATCGCTCCGCAAACAAATGGACCCATTTCGATTCGTGCCCCATACGACACATACTTTGCCTCAAGACACTCCTGCAATGCCATCATCGCCAGCGAGGCAGCAAAGCCCAAATCCCCCGCAGTCAACAACGAAAAAACACACCCAGCACCAAATCGCATCAATAAAATAAAATAATAAAACAAACCAAAATGCAACCAAAAAATAACGACACACATAAGAAACAAAAAACAAAAACAGAAAAAAAAAAAGGTCTTGCTCACAAACAATTACGTTCATATCACTTCTTAGAGGCCTTTGCGGCGGCCTTGGTGACCTTGCCGGCACCGCCCTCCTTCTTCGTCACCGCCTTGATGATGCCGACGGCGACCGTCTGGCGCATGTCACGCACGGCAAAGCGGCCAAGAGGAGCGTAGTCGTTGAACACCTCCACGCACATGGGCTTCTGCGGCACCATGCGCACCATGGCGGCGTCACCGGACTTGATCGACTTGGGGTTCTTCTCAAGCTCCTTGCCGGAGCGGCGGTCGATCTTGGACTCGATCTCGGCGAACTTGCACGCGATGTGGCAGGTGTGGCAGTCAAGCACCGGCGCATAGCCGTTGCCGATCTGGCCGGGGTGGTTCAGGATGATCACCTGCGCCGTGAAGTCGGCCGCCTCCTTTGGGGGGTCGTTCTTCGAGTTGCCGCACACGTTGCCACGGCGGATGTCCTTCACGGACACGTTCTTCACGTTGAAGCCGACGTTGTCGCCGGGCGTGGCCTCGGCCAGCTGCTCGTGGTGCATCTCAATCGACTTCACCTCCGTCGTCACGTTGGCGGGCGCAAACGTCACCACGTCGCCGGGCTTCATCGTGCCCGTCTCCACGCGACCGACCGGCACGGTGCCGATGCCGCCGATCTTGTACACATCCTGCAGCGGCAGGCGCAGCGGCTTGTCGCTGGGGCGCACCGGGGGCTCCAGCATGTCGAGTGCCTCCAGCAGCGTGGGGCCCTTGTACCACGGCATATTTTCCGACTTGTCAATCATGTTGTCGCCCTGCCAGCCGGAGATGGGGATGAAGCGCACCTTCTCCACGTTGTACCCAACCTTCTTCAGGTACGCCGACACCTCCTTCACAATCTCATCGTAGCGCTCCTGGGCGAAGTTCACCGACTTGTCGTCCATCTTGTTGCAGCACACAACCATCTGCTTCACGCCGAGCGTGAAGGCGAGCAGCGCGTGCTCGCGTGTCTGGCCGTCCTTCGAGATGCCCGCCTCAAACTCACCCTGCGATGACGCAATGACAAGGACGGCGGCGTCCGCCTGAGACGTGCCCGTGATCATGTTCTTGATGAAGTCGCGGTGGCCGGGGGCGTCGATGATCGTGAACACAGACTTGGGCGACTCGAACTTCCAGAGCGCAATGTCGATCGTGATGCCGCGCTCGCGCTCAGCCTTCAGCTTGTCCAACACCCACGCGTACTTGAACGAAGACTTGCCGATTTCAGCCGCCTCCTTCTCGAACTTCTCAATCGTCCGCTTGTCAATGCCTCCGCACTTGTAGATGAGGTGGCCAGTGGCTGTGGACTTGCCGGCATCGACGTGGCCGACCACCACGAGGTTCATGTGCACCTTTTCCTTCCCCATTATGCGTGTTTTACCTTGCGGGACTGAAAAAACAATAAAAAGCTGTGTAGCAGACCTAGCGTCAGCGAAGAAAAACGTGGGTGGGGCGGAAAAGACATCACGGGGGCCAGCGGCACGCATGTATAGACACACACACACACAGAGAGAGAGAGAGAGAAAGAAAGACAGAAAGAAAACACACCACCACAGCACGCTTCTCTCTCCACAGGCTAGCAAAAGTCCTAATTACTATTCTTAAAGGCTTCACTTTTTAGTGACCGGCAATCGCACAAGCAGCCGACAAAGAAACACAGACAGAAAGACAGACACACACAAAAAAAACAAAAAAACAACAACAAAAAAACAAGACATACTTCTGCTTATACCCATACAATTACGTTCATATCACTTCTTTGAGGCCTTTGCGGCGGCCTTGGTGACCTTGCCGGCACCGCCCTCCTTCTTCGTCACCGCCTTGATGATGCCGACGGCGACCGTCTGGCGCATGTCACGCACGGCAAAGCGGCCAAGAGGAGCGTAGTCGTTGAACACCTCCACGCACATGGGCTTCTGCGGCACCATGCGCACCATGGCGGCGTCACCGGACTTGATCGACTTGGGGTTCTTCTCAAGCTCCTTGCCGGAGCGGCGGTCGATCTTGGACTCGATCTCGGCGAACTTGCACGCGATGTGGCAGGTGTGGCAGTCGAGCACCGGCGCATAGCCGTTGCCGATCTGGCCGGGGTGGTTCAGGATGATCACCTGCGCCGTGAAGTCGGCCGCCTCCTTTGGGGGGTCGTTCTTCGAGTTGCCGCACACGTTGCCACGGCGGATGTCCTTCACGGACACGTTCTTCACGTTGAAGCCGACGTTGTCGCCGGGCGTGGCCTCGACCAGCTGCTCGTGGTGCATCTCAATCGACTTCACCTCCGTCGTCACGTTGGCGGGCGCAAACGTCACCACGTCGCCGGGCTTCATCGTGCCCGTCTCCACGCGACCGACCGGCACGGTGCCGATGCCGCCGATCTTGTACACATCCTGCAGCGGCAGGCGCAGCGGCTTGTCGCTGGGGCGCACCGGGGGCTCCAGCATGTCGAGTGCCTCCAGCAGCGTGGGGCCCTTGTACCACGGCATATTTTCCGACTTGTCAATCATGTTGTCGCCCTGCCAGCCGGAGATGGGGATGAAGCGCACCTTCTCCACGTTGTACCCAACCTTCTTCAGGTACGCCGACACCTCCTTCACAATCTCATCGTAGCGCTCCTGGGCGAAGTTCACCGACTTGTCGTCCATCTTGTTGCAGCACACAACCATCTGCTTCACGCCGAGCGTGAAGGCGAGCAGCGCGTGCTCGCGTGTCTGGCCGTCCTTCGAGATGCCCGCCTCAAACTCACCCTGCGATGACGCAATGACAAGGACGGCGGCGTCCGCCTGAGACGTGCCCGTGATCATGTTCTTGATGAAGTCGCGGTGGCCGGGGGCGTCGATGATCGTGAACACAGACTTGGGCGACTCGAACTTCCAGAGCGCAATGTCGATCGTGATGCCGCGCTCGCGCTCAGCCTTCAGCTTGTCCAACACCCACGCGTACTTGAACGAGGACTTGCCGATTTCAGCCGCCTCCTTCTCGAACTTCTCAATCGTCCGCTTGTCAATGCCTCCGCACTTGTAGATGAGGTGGCCAGTGGCTGTGGACTTGCCGGCATCGACGTGGCCGACCACCACGAGGTTCATGTGCACCTTTTCCTTCCCCATTATGCGTGTTTTACCTTGCGGGACTGAAAAAACAATAAAAAGCTGTGTAGCAGACCTAGCGTCAGCGAAGAAAAACGTGGGTGGGGCGGAAAAGACATCACGGGGGCCAGCGGCACGCATGTATAGACACACACACACACACAGAGAGAGAGAGAGAGAGAGACAAAGAAAGACAGACACGCACACTAAAATTACAATCCAAAGAAATCATAAAAAAACAAAAAACAGAAACAAAAAAAAGGTCTTGCTCACAAACAATTACGTTCATATCACTTCTTGGAGGCCTTTGCGGCGGCCTTGGTGACCTTGCCGGCACCGCCCTCCTTCTTCGTCACCGCCTTGA